ATTTTCATCTGTTTTCGAAACCAACTAAAAACCAAGAAGCCTCTGTCGATGTTTTAGTTTATTTATACCAGATCGAGTTATCTGTGCACGGTTGAAGTATCTTTGGACCAATCTTGAGATATTAATGGCAGAGGACATGCGAGGTCCAATGCCTCATTGATAAAGCTCCCTATCCGGTAGGACGTGCCTCGTTGAGGTCCGTTTTTTGGTCGGTCGTTTTTTGCCCCTGTTGTAATCTAAGCTTAACCTATTAGTGACTTCCTTTTTTGTCAGGATCTATTTAGCCGTGGCATTTTTTTTAGTAAAGCCATTATAATATTGTTTGTGTAAGGTTAGGGATGAGTGGTTTCGTGAAGATATATATTTGATGACAAGGTTGATTATAGTATATTGCCTCCTTGTGGGAAATATCTTTGAAACAATATTTTTAGATCAGAATGGCACCCTTCAAAGACCAACTGAGAATCAACTTTATTCAATCTTTGATGGAACCGTGCTGGAAAATTAGATACAAGTTTCTTTATGATTTCATTTAATTTAGCTTCCTTCTCGGATATGTGCACTATAGTATATAGAAATAAACTGGTTCCGTGAGAGTGTTCGGTCAAGATTAAAACTAACTGCATTTTAAAATAATCGGCCTTACATTTTTTAGTCTTGGAAACATTTTATCTAAGTTAAAATAGAGATCAAATTAACCCTTGACTCGCGGGTAAGGAAGACATTAACTTTTTATTACAAAAAAAGTTGTTATATAGAATTAACCAAAGTCAATATAAGTATTTCGGTAGAACGAAGAATATATTTTTGAATATGTAGTTTTAAATTTTATTTCATTTTATTTTAACTGACCTGTACTCCAGTCGAAACATCCAGAATGTTATAAGCACGTATTAATGCAACCACTTGAATTTTTGTTTTAATTTAATTGTATTCTATGAGAATCTTTGATTACTGTGAATGATCGGAAAAAAGATAATAACTAGAAACGTTAGCGTTTTTAAGTGATTGTTTTTATATTTTTACTGATAAAATAAAGTCTAGTTTTTTCGAAAAATTGAATAACACTAATTACGAAATTAGCAATCCCAAAAAAGATTTTCGAACGGATGCGGGTCCAACAAGCCTTATTCCCGAAACTTCGTCTCATCCTATAATTATTGTACCATCAACACTATATTTTGCACTTTGGAAGAAGAAAATTTAGGATAAACTGTTTGTCTGCCAGATTAAGTGTAGCGAAACCCCTGCTCTGAAAATGAAGTCATCAGCGATAATCTTCTGTGCTATGCATTGTCAAAGTTTTTTACGAAAAAAGTGGTTTCTGAGACTTTCTTTTGAATGGATATCCCGCCTCAAGTCTCATTATAAGGATATTAGAACAAAGACTACCGTTGCTAAAACAGCATCTGCTTATCATAACGCTACGACACCTTCATTCCATTACACGGAGATTTAAAGATCAACGCACTTGTTACATACAAAACAACACGACATTACTCCTCGTACAGTCCATCTAACACAGCATCTACGCCTTCTCGGAAGACTTGGTCATCGCTATCTGATCTTATAATACGGCAGCGTCCTTCCTCGCTCTAGATAACACGGTGATAGAACTCCATTACCATACTCAGGTCTTCGAGGGGTGTGAACGGTAGCTCTTATCTGCAGTCTTCATATTGTTCCTTGTGTTTAAAAGCCTTTTGCATAGATGGAATAGTCAGTTTACAGCAATTTATCGATGGAATGCAACAGCGCATTTAATATCTAATTAATTCAAATCCTATCCTCGTTGCATTTATATGCAAATTTTATCAGCTCGAAGTTATTATCGAGTTGAGTGTTCTTCGAAGCGGTTTTAATATATCTTGCCCATGCGCAGATGGGTCGATAAAACTTCAAACCTGTTTCAACTTCAGTTATATTTACTTTTAGAACTGGTTTAACAGACTAAACAGGTATCAAAATGTATTGAATATACATATAGAAAAAAATAGTTTTTGAAAATTTCTTAGGAAGGTTAAATACAATTTTCAGATGTCTCCTTAGCCTTACTATACATCTAAAATCTACCACTGACGTGTTCTCCATTTAAAAAGGTTGAAAAGATGCTGTTACTTCAATTATATTTACTAGCGAAAAATTCTGCATTTCTATATTGTGAAACCCTCATCATTTTCGAGTCGGAAATCATCTATCTTCGAGTCAAATATTGTACACAAGTTCATATTTTTGAATACTCTAATATGAATTTCCTTTTTTGAACTTTTCCTGTGGTAACGTTATGTCAGTTATCAACAGTTAATAGTCTAATAGTGTGTTAAATCGCTGAATATGTCCCAGTTTTTAATAAAATGAAACTAGAGAATGTGCAACCGCTTCGTTTTAAACATAGATGTGACTCAAATTTCTTGATATTAGACATTTCTTTATTTAGACAAACGTCTTTAATTAATTTATCAAATCTAAAAAAAACATTTACACTGAAATATAGGGAATTATGCACCTTTTATGGTGAGATAGCCATGTTGATCTTACTAGGCAGTAGCGAATTGGAGCATTATTTATATATTTTTTGGGGAATGGGCATTATTTGTGTCATGTAATGTATAATTAATCAGGAAGAAAAGGAAAAAAAACATTTAATGATATTAAATGGTCCCTAAAAAAAAAAAAAAAATTCATGTCAGGTATAGTACGTTACTTAAGTTGTTCAAGGAAGAAGATCTCCCATCCATTTGTCTTTTTAGACTGCACCTTATATTCAAGGGTCTGCGGTAGCCACGTTTCTAAATTAAATTATTGTTATCTGCGTTTAAATTTGGACCAAAATCGTTGGTAAAAAAATCTTAATATGTTGGTAACTGTTGGGAGGTGGAAGTCAGTATATAGAGTTTTGTCAGTCCAGTTTTGTCAGTACCAAGAGTATCCGCATGGTGGGCCTTTTTAGTGATACCGTGTATCTGTGGTAAACATGTCCATATAGAAATCAAATAATTTAAAAAAAAATAAGAATAAGCTTTGTATCTTTTTTACTTCCTTAATTTACAAGTTTTTAATATAGTAGCATATGTGCCTCTATATGTACATGTTATAATTTAAAAAGAAAGCTCCGAGGCGTCTGGAAAGAAGATGGCCTCGGGACCTTCTAATATAGAACTTTAATTTGAGTTCTACCAATGGGTAGTTTCTCTTCATGTTGTACATCTCATGTTACCAATGTCACATTTACTTGATGTATTTTCTATGTAATACAGTTGTAAATTTCAGTAAAATCAAAAAAAAAAAAAGACATATTGTAATTACTTAAGTATTTATATAATGAAAATATATATTTTTCTATTTTTGGGCTGCTTCAACCAACAAAGCTTCCCTCATGATGTGAAGTGCTACTTATCAGACGTTTTTAAATATTTGTCAAATGGAGTAGTTTTATTAATATAATCAGTTGTTCTTTAATCCATTCCATTATACTGTTGCTATTCGCTTGAGTTAAAATCAGCGTTGAAAGCTTGATGATATAAAGATATAAAAGTTATGAAGAAGAGAATCCAATTGCATAAAATTAATTAAATTATTGGTTATAATTCTGAGTAATTATGTTGCCAAGCAAGGTCTTTTATTTTCTTTATCCCTCGCTTCCTCTCTATTTATAAAACCCGCTGCTAATAATACGCTCTGAAACGACTCTCCCATCGGCTGATTAAATCTTATTACTTATAAAAACGATTGCTTATTGTTAATACATCTTGGACAAGAGCTCAAACTAGGCTTAAGTGCAGCAATTTTAAGCGGCGCAGGTGCCCCGTTGGATAAAACATAAACAATCGATAATTACAGAGTAGCGGTGCCGGCGGAGCAGAATTAATCGATAGAGCCGCCAAAGATTATCAGGCGATCCTTTAGTAACGGTACAACTTGCCAAGTGTGTTTAACAGCCTTCCAACAGCAATCCGCTCTCATTTAATATTTGATTGCGATCAAATATATTCATGTATTGCATTATACTAAATACACAGAAGAAGCGATGTCCATGTGTATTGTTTGATTGTATAATGTCAAACCTTATTTAAACATTGCATATTGAGATATCTAATAAATAAAATTTGCAGTGTTAATAATTGTTTATTATCGATTTACTTCGATCAAGGATAAAGTATAATTCCTGAAAGATGGACAAAGAGACGGAATTTAATTATATATATTGAGGATTACGTACTGAAGCCTCCCTCTCAAATGATAAAACATAACTTTGTTTCATGAAAAAGAAATTAAATAATTATCTCTTAAAGTATTATTTATTGTATCATTACATTTAATAGGAGTTCAAAAATCACTTAAACACCATTTCATGTAGGTAGTTAGTTTCTTTTTTTATTTTTTAAATAAATTTTGTTATATGTATATATATCCCACTCCTCACCACTCCCCTCTCCAAATTAAATTCTAGATCCGCTTGTAGATCCGAAATGAAGCAACTTCGTAGAAGGGGTTATTGAGGTCCAAAGAGTAGGAAAACGTTTTAGAGAATGGAAGTAAGTTTTGAGTTCCGGCTGAACGAATTTTCTGATTGAGAAGGAAAAGTGTCGTTGCAGCGGTGGACAGTGAAAAATTCTTTAAATTCTGCGCATAATAGGATAAAAGATCTACTATAAAAAAAAGAATTGTATTAAAAAGTAAAGAAGGGAAAAGTTACATGAAGTAACATAATATCAAGCTAGTTTAGTATATAATTATTATAATTAGGAGTATTACTTACTACCACCGTTGACTGCTGGTGGAGCATAGGGCATCTACAAATGCGTTTTCTTCTGCATTCCATTTCGAATAAATCATTTTCACTACTGGCCATCTTTTTACCTCGGTTCAGGTCATTTTGTACAGATCTAAGCCTTATCTCTTTTGGTTATCATGCTTTTCTTGTTCCTTGGGCAGAGCTTCTTTTTGATAGCGCAAGTGTGTCTTATCCATTTTCATTTCTTTTCTTTATTTCGAAGTAGATAGGAGGAAGCTGCTCAATGATACTCCAGAGCTCAGCGTTAGATGCCGCCAAATCTCCAGGATGCTTCCTGTGGCAGTTGATGATGATCTTAAGGCCTTTAGTTACCTTCCATGTTTCGCTTCAGCCGAACAGGACTGATTTTACCTTTGCCTTAAACAACCTTGTTGTATCAAACAATTTCTTGTTCTTCCATATTGAATACACTTGATGAGACACTCCATTGTCTTTTTGTTTCGACTTTTCGACATCATCTAAATGATTTGTAAGAAGTAAATTGAGTATGAGTACAAGTTTTCCAAAAAACATTTATATCCTATTAAAATCGTGTTGTGTGTTGTTGAGATGTATTTTTTTTATTTTTTGGTCTATCACGGTAGAAAGTAATGAAGATCCTAAACACCTTTGTATGGAGGCCTCATGTTAACCTTGCTCGATCGGATTGTGAATTGCAGATTTAAGACGACCTCATTGTTGACTGAACGTACTCGTTGAGCGTTCTAACCGCATCTGGTCCAAGGCTGCGATGCAATTCTAATCCAGCGGTTGCAGCCAATAGCTACCAAATCACTCCAACGAGTTGTGAAGCATTCTAACCAAGTTTCACAATCACCTTGGAGTCTCTTTTAAGTCGACACCGGACGTGCAAGTAAATATATTGGTTAAATATATTAGAGGCCGATTGTATCTGAGATGTAAAATAGCTTACATTCTTGTGATGAAATAATTTTATATTCTATACTTATTTTTCTGTTGTGATAAATTATACTACATTAGTCTTGTAGACAAAGCATTTAAATATCTGAAAGGTCCATACTCGACTAAGACTGTAACTTTTCCTAAATGCCCCTTTCCCAGAATAGACATTTAATTTTAAATACCTCATTTCATTGAAATTTGTGCCGTCACTGACAGTTTTTTAAATTATCCGTTATACTCTTCTTCATCATGTCTCTAAATGTCTTGAAATCCTTTTCTATTCTGAGTTCTAGGTACAACGCTTCAGATGGTTAGATACGCGCCATCCTTTCCGTTCCTAGACTTGTCACTCCGACGATGTCAGAGGCTAACCATTTTCTTTTCCTAACTAATTATACACTGGAGAGAACTTTATTACCATTTTTCATATTTAAAATAAAGCAGAATTAAAATTTTAAAGAAAAACACTGAGTTTTGTTTAATCTATCCTAGTTTGCCCTACTAACTCGGATAGTTTAATGGTCAGTGAACAAATGTCAGTATATTATATAAATATGTAAACACAAAATATTATGAGTGAAAGCAATTTTCATCCAAAATAATCAATCATAAATTGTATTATTTTGATTCATCTGCAGTTATAATTTCTTATTCTTCATATTTTGTTAACCTGATATTTCTGGGATATGTGCTTGTTTTTGCATCTTATACTTTATACATTCCACTATTCGGGAGAAGTCACCTTAGTCCATTAGTCCGTGGTACAGACCTCTTTTTATCAAATTATTAACATCCGCCTGAAACTTCGTAAATAGCAGCTACATCTCATCATAACCTGCAAATATTTGATTCACGAAAACTCTTGAAATTGAGGCGTTTTCAATCTGGAGCTCGGCAAACTTGGTCTATTTAATTAGGTAATAAAAACACGTACAACCCATTTGCTTTCCACTTCAATCGTAAGATTATTTGAGCACAAAATCGAGAAAAAAGGTGGTCTTAAAAAATATTGAGCCGTTTGGCGTGACCTACACCCTCAGAATGTCAAAATAACGACATTGGCCAAACGATCCAATATTTTTGTAGGTCACATTTTTTCTCAATTTTGGGATCAAATTATCATACGATCCAAGTGGAAAGTAAATGTGTATTTACGAGTTTTTAGTGTCTAATTAAATAGAAAAACTTTGCCGATCTCCAGATTGAAAACGCTCCAATTCCAAGAGTTTTCTTAAATAAAATAGTTGTAGGTTACGATGAAACTATCACGAAGTTTCAGGCGGATGTTAATAATTTTGTGTAAAAGGGGTTCTGTACCACGGACTGTATGTCTCGATCATTATATGATGAAGGAAGATATGGCGTACCCACAAAAAAAATCTTTTGAAAATAATATATAAAGATTCCGAATTATTTAATTTTGAAAAACCGTCCGTAAAAGACATTAAAAAAAAAAAAAAAAAAAGAAGAAGATGTTTGGACATTTTTTATAATACAAATTTTTGAAATTAAAGTTTAAAAGAACGTTCATTAAGTTTTTCATAACTATTTGTCCGCCTATATATTCGTACATGTACATACATCCTAGTATATATTACAAACACGAATAAAAAAAATCGAGGAGCAGCTTGGCCGCAACTAGTAGAAGCTTGTGGTTTGTGGTTTGGTATGGTACTCAATGCGGCAACTGTGATGTTCTTCCATTTTAGCACCTAATAAATAATTCTTACTAATAGCTTTCTATAATTGGAAGTCTTAAAATAGACTGGGAGTTATAAGCCTTTATCTATAATTCATTGGACATTAAAATCCTATCAATTTGAAATTGAATTTACAAATTAATTAAACGTTATATACACTTACGATATACCTATTGACGATGAGATCTTGACAGCTACATATGCAGACGATACAACAATCCTCACAAAACATCAAGACCCTCACAAGCCTCACTAACTCTACAACATCATTTGCTTAAACTACAAGATTGGTTCACACTATGGAAAATTCGACTTAATCATGACAAATCCAAACATAAAACATTTACTCTTCGAAAAAACACCTGTCCACCAGTTTATATTGACAACAATCAAATTCCTCAAACGGACACGGTACTTTACCTTGGACTCACCTTCGACAGAAGGATGACATGGGGCCCACATGTTAAAATGAAGCGTATGACACTTAACAAACGACTCAAACTACTTTACTCTCTTTTTGCCAAATCTTCAAAACTAAAACTAAAACAGAAACTGAATACATATACATACTTACTTAAGCCCATATGGACATACTCATCACAAATATACGGCATCGCTAAAAAGACCCACCTACAAAAACTTCAAACGTTCTAATCAAAATTATTGCGACTCATAACAAAAGCACCTTGGTACGTGACTAACAAAACTCTACATACTGACCTCCACTTTCCAACAGTTGACCAACATATAACGACCCTATTCCAACGATTTTACACAAATTTAAATGGACATAATAATAGACTTATAAGAGACATGGCCACAACTGACATACCTCAGAACATGGGCAGGAGGATGAGGGATCTCCTTCCTTACACAACCTAAGTAATTAGAACAAGTTAGGGAAGAGGTACTGCTGTGTACTTTCCTTCCCCATACCTGTCATGTCATTATATCATTATCGCCATCACATTTGCTGATTGTCAACTTATTGTTGACAGGCGCAAATATATATTTTATAGACAAAAAAAAAAAAAAAAATTAAAAAACAATAAGTAAATTAATACTCCCATTCTTGATGTAAAAATCATATAGATAATAAACTCACGTTTTTGCCAAAAGTCTGTAATATCAGAACATTAACCTCTTAGTGTAACTATTTTTGATAGATAAAACGAATTCTGTTCATTTGCTGCACTTTATGTGTTTTTACATCGATAAATAAAATCGAAATTCACCAAAACGAACTTAAAAGTTGTACTCTATTAAAAACGTGCTTAGTGGCTTTTTGTTATAAACTGATGATACATTGATTTATATTTTCTTGATTGTTACAAAATGTTTTCTGAGGACTTTCCTACCTATTTCAGAAAAGTTTTTATATCTTTACTTATGTTCGTGAAGAAACAAAAAAAAAATTGGATTAGATTTATTTTCCTGAAAAATTGATCAAAAACAAGATTTGAGTAAGATTTATTTGATAAACTTAAGCAATGAAACCTGCTGAAGGTAGATCAGTGTAAAAATTTCAATACTCTCTAATATTTCTGATCAAACACTTTTCGCCATAGCCTAATTTTATCACACAATAATTTCTGTTAAAAGTAGAAGAAATAGTGAAGCTTGTGTGATGTCGGTTACAGATTTTCTTACTTTCACTCAATTATCTTTTTTCTCTCATTTACCCCTTTCTAACATCAGCATATGAACCCGTAATCTTACATTGGATACTGAATAGCTGTAACTTCGTTAATAGTTGTCTGAAATGAACGATTTTTGTATATTTTTTAAGGAAATTTCATTACCTTTAAAAAAAATAGGCTTCAATACTTTCCTTTCCCAGTATAGGTCGGAAAGTAATAAATTAAAATAGAAAATAGAATAAGATGTATCATCGCTAATACTGGTTCGATTCCGATGATTTTAGTTTTGTTGGTAATTTAATTACCTTTCAAAATTTTTAACGTATAATATACACTTTGCGAATTAGGCCCCAAAACATTTTTCTTTTCTTTATAACTTTTTACCCTGAAATTTCTCGGGAATTTAGTCCATATACGAAAATTGAAAGGAAAATTATTAGAACATTATAGGAAAGTTTCATCAAAGTCGTTAGAGCTGTTTTCGCGCTACAGTCTATCGGAAAACATGTTTTCATTTAATACGCGCAAGCTAATGCGCATGGAGCACCGAATTTCTGTCACAGGCATCGGTTGTCAATACCCTACAAAATAAAAAAAGGAGAAACAAAATTGGTTTCCGTGAAAATCTTGGCACAGACAAACAGACAGACCAATGGCTACAAATGTCTTTTTCGGACTCAAGGGGCTAGATCCGTCGATATCGGAAATTTGACCCGATCGCAATACTTTCCTTACCTAGTATAGGTAGAAAAGAAATAAAGTTGAATTTATTTCTTTTATTTAAAAAAAAAAAAAATGAGCTCCATCAAAATGTAATTGATGATTTTTTTTTCTATAAACCGATGATATGGTTTTCAATCTTCTAATTTAACCGCTCTCATTATTTTTTTCTCTTATTTTGTTTATAGTTAATACTAGACTTTCGAATATAAGATGGCATTGCAAATGTTTGCAGATGTTATAACAATGGAATAGAGTGGACATACGAGGTTGCCTTGGGCAAATCCCAGCAGAGTGGCTATAAAACCTTAATGGCTTTAGGTTTATTTGCCCTGGCTCTCGAAGGCCCGCGGTATATGTTTATACCTCCTCATCTTATAGCTCTTCCATAAAACATGCTGCTTCGGCTTAATGGACTTTTAATATGCGACCAGGGAACACTGTTAGCTTTTATTTTTGTTTTGAAAACATCTCATTTCCACTCGTCAACTTTCTTCATTGATTTTTTTAACCAATAAGTCCCGGTACTTCGCTGTTTGCACGCATCGTTGCATTTATTACACCCACAGTCGGTGAACAAAAATCGCTTGTAGTTAATCGATTAATTTTTTTTGTTTTGTTTATTTTTACTTATATTTAAAAAAATTCTAATCTAAGTTGATCAATATATGTTCCTAAATAATGATATTCATACAAAACGGAAATTACGTGTTTAATCAAATTATTTTATTAGGATGTTATTGCAAATTTTTTGATGAAATCAAATCACAAAATATACACATCAATATTTTACGTCTTCAGGCGTAGAATTTTAATTCTGTTTGGAGGGAGGGGAGGAATAATGGACCTCCCAAAAAAGTCGAGAGTTTACTTATACTTTAAAAGTATGAGTGATAATTAACATAACCATTGTAAAACGAACACTATAATAATATAAATGCATATATCTTTATATATATTATTATTTATTTATATTTTTATACATGTATTTTTTTTTTGCCTACGGATGTATTTTAAAGTATGTTAACAAGGTGATTGAATATATTACGTATTTCAATTTTAATTTAAAGGTATGATGCAAACTCAGTGAGATGAACTCATAATTCTACGATGCTTCAAATTTGCCGTGGGGAATGTGATAAAGAAATGACTAGAAAAGTAAAAAAGAAGGGGTGAACATGAATGAATCATAAAACCCTAGAATGTTTTGCTAAATATAATTATCTTTGCATAGAATCTAAAATTTCAAAAATAGGGACATACGGTGAGGTAAAACACTTGCGTACCTAGTTGTATGCCTTAACTTAGCCGTCTAGTCAACTTTTCCTATTTCCTTAATTGATTTTACTTTACACATTTTACAGAAGGTTAATTGTTATTGGTTTTGATTTAATTTTTGTTTTTAAAATATTGGGGAGCAAAAAGATATTCTCGCACCCCCTCTATTTTTATCGGGGGGCGACGGCCTATTTCTCGAAGTCTGCGCCTAACGTTATATCCCAAGCCTATCAGTCAGTTTAATTAAAGAAGATTTTTCCTTATGTACAGAAACAAGCTTAAATTATTGAACGGTCCAGCAATAAGCAAACGAATTGTTTTTTCCCTATGTTCTGGCTCGATTGGTTTTAATATGGAGGATCTACTTATAAGACTTGGAGTCATTTTACCGTCACAATTTGACTGAGTATAACGGAGTTGAGAAAGACAAACGAGTACCCATGACAGATTGTCCTCCTACTGGATCAGAAATTTATTTCGGTCTGGTTGGACACGGACAGATATATGAATGTAGAACACGACTTCGGTATTCCTCCAGACCTGCGCGCCCCCTCACCGAAAAATAAAAAGTAATAAAAAGAAGGCCGAAGAGTTATATTTCATAAAGCGGTCTTTGACTAACGAATCAATTATCTCAGAGGCAGGGTAAATAAATAGTCAGTCGTAGATTAATGGCAGTCGTTAGTGGCCGCCATCTCTCATCTTAGGTTGGTACACCTGGACTGTCGATATAGCAGGCCCGTGGTTCTATACCTCTGATGAGTCACAACTTCAAATTTAATGAATCTCTTCAGTGATTTCTCTTGGCTCTGTTTCTGGTGTTTAAATGTTAAATGTGGCCAGGTCGCCTGTGTATAAATGAATAAATGAGAAAAACTGAGTTTATTGATGCTGAATTGAAGACATTTTTAAGTTAAAGTATGATTATCTAAGAGATACAAAATGTTCTTCCATGACATTTTCAACCACTTCGGCCTTCTTCATTCATTCTTCATATTTCAGGAGTATTACCATCAAATATGTGGACCCCAATCTATTACAAAACCCAATCTTAACGGACCAACCGGACATTTTTTGAGGGACGAAAGAATTTGAGCAAAAACAAAATTAGAGGTAAATTAAGTTTTTAATGGACAACCACAATGGCGAGATCTATTAAAATATCTGGTGGAACCTAACAGAAAAGGGAAAGGAAATAATATTCATGTGGGTCCCTTCACACTGCGGAATTGTCGGAAATGAACAGGCAGACAAAGCAGCAAATATGGCAAGAAGGCTAGATAGAAATCCAACAGTTATAATTAACGAAATCCCGAAAGAAGATTTTATACAGCATATAAAAAAAAAATGTGGTACAGCGGGTAATGTGGCAGAACGTATGGAAACAAAAAGAAACCAAATTAAAAGAAATAAAAAGCCACTGTTCCAAATGGAAAACTAGTAACAGACTCTCCAGAAAAGAAGAGACAGACGCTTAAGAATCGGGCATTGTGAATTTTCTCATGTCTATTTACTTAGATGACTAAAACACACCGTCTTACGAGAGCTGTAAGGTGCAAAGAACAGTCCAACATATCATCCAAGACTGCCCAGTATTTAAGAATATAAGGAAAAATTTGAAGATGGCTCAGAATCTAAAAGAAAACCACAGTGACAACGAAAACGCCGTGGAAAAAACCTTTCAATTTTTTTAAATTATAAAATTCTACAATAGAGTATGAATAGCAAGTGTTGCCAATGACCCTCCAGGGTAGAGGCAACAATAAAAACAAATAAATAAATATCATAATTATATAATAATAATGATAAACTGTTAAAAGTTCAAACTGATTAATTGGTTTCTAATTCATGGAAAAAGCATAAAATCAAATCATTAGAATATAAAATAGGATTAAATAAATGCATAGCGAACAATTTTAGTTGCAAATTAAGTAAATTCAGTGCAAAATTACATAAGCATTAGTTTTAATATACCCATCTTCTATATAACCATATTTCTCTCTCTCTCTCTCTCTCTCTCTCTCTATATATATATATATATATATATATATATATATATAGCTATTCCAGAGGCCGACTATGATAAATAACTAAGATGAAGAAGCATCGTTGAGGAGTTGGGCCCTCCAAGGTAGACAATAGGAATGCTAAAGAGGCCAAACAGAGCCAGCATGAATTATTAATGAGCTGCTGAAAGCTACAGCTCTATAGTTCCTCCATCTCTCCGGCAACAGGATCCAACCCCAGTGTCAATATTGCCAAGACCACTTAGCAATACTTAAGGAAGTAGCCCATTAACAATCAAGTCTCATGAGGAGGTCATTTACAAAACATCCTTTGTGTATGTCTCTAACATCAAATACCATATTTCTCTAAATTTTTCTAATACTGAACGTTTGTCAAACCTTAAAAAAAAAATAAAATAAAAATAGTATTTATAAACTTTCATAAATACCATATTGCTCATTGGCAGCAAAAACATGATATTTTAGTTAATTTTTATTTATTTATTGGGGTTAACAAATAAAAATATACAGCATGAAATAAATGTAGAATTTAATAATTTTATAAATGCATTGCCTGAAACATTGTGAATTTCGAGTTATGGCACTGTTGCCTCAAACAAGCAATATATTAAACATCAATGGTAATTAATAGTGTATTTAATTGATAATTAAAAAATTAATTATTCTTGTCTAAGCACATCAATTGCTAGTTAAGTTCATTACATTATTTTTATTTTTCAAATATTTATAATGAATGTTTTGTTTGATTTCAGCTGTTCGAAGCCAGTTGAGGCTAGGAGAAGAAGGAGAACGAGTCGAGTACACTGATCAGGATGCACTTTGGTTCCGAGCAGCCACTGTCGCAGTCCCCATCTTCGGAGCACTTATCCTCCTCATCCTCATTTTCCTAGCTCTCAAGATTCTCAGGACTGATCCCCAGTCTCTGCAACCCAAATTGAGGTAAATTTCATCTTTAAATAGCACAGAAAATTAATTTAATTGCTAATCTAAATATAAAATATCAATTGACAGCACTTATTGAAGGATTGAATGGAATCCATCAATTACGTTTATATTCCAATGACAAAGACTGTTATGCCAATATTTTGTTTTGTTTTTCTAAATTTTTTTTCCCTATTTCAATTTCTAATTCTAATTAGCCTTAATATTAATGCCCTTCAATGTGGCAGAATGTATTAATATTCAATAAAGAAAGTAACAAAGTAAATTCTAATGATTTTGTTATATTGAAATATTTTTATCAATTATCATTAATTTGTTTAGATTTTTTTTTTCATAATTCATTTTTCTTAATCTAAGTAGCAATTTTTTAAAATATATTATCTATTGTTCTGTGCATATTTGGTGAGATATTTTAATTGAATACCCAGAAGTAATGCTCATTAAATTTTAAAAAATTGCTCTGAATGATTGGGCTATCTGTGCAGTGACCCTTCAAAAGTCTATCTACCAATGCCTTATCAAAAGATGGAATGAAAAATAAAACATTAAATTAGTGAATTCATAAAATGTATAATATTGGAATAAATATGAATTATATATTTCATCACTTTATTCTATCATGTTTAAGCATCGCATTCAGTCTTAGCATTTTATGTATTATATTATAGTAATATTTGTTATAATTTAATTGCTTAATAAATACAACTAATCGTACCCTCTCACTGTTAGCAGGGTGGGCCCAAACACAAGAGTAATGATAGGCAGTAACAACCCACACATCGACACTGGGGCTAAGAAGTTACCACTGCTTTATCAGCACAACGACTGCACCTCTCGGACCCAGGAGAAAAACGAAGCAAATGCGAAACTCAACAGCCCTGCTACCTTGCTAGATCTTCACAAGTCGAGCCAGAGAGCCCCCTGCAACTTGTATCAACCGCTTATTCAGAGCCCGCAGGGGGTCGACGCAAGCGTCTATAACAAGACCTTCCTCATAGACTGGGGTGCTCACCCTTAGCTGCCTTAGTGTCTCTTCCTCTATATATATATATTGTTCTTTTTTTGATAATGTTTTTTGTAATGCTGTACTGTATACAGTTCCTAACCCCAGGTTATCAGCTGCAGTCAATTTTATATTTGTTTCGTCATTTTGGAATGTATTTGTATATTTTAAAAGGATAGTTGCCAAAACAAAAGTCATATTAATTTTCAGTTTTACTTTAATTTGATTTAAATGTGAGAGGAAATATTTCTAATTGCTACACATATAAGATAGTTCCTGAAAAAACAAAGAAAAATTATTCTGGCAAATTTATTTAGGATAGTTGCTTTAGAATAATTTTTGACCCTTATGTTTTATTCTGAAATTGAAGTGGAAAAACTTATTATGGAATACAGCTAATTTATATTAAAGTGCCTACCTAATGTTAGGAACGAATACAAAAGAAGACTAGCTAGTCATATTGTTTAACAGGATACGACAATATTTATGTGCCTCTGAAAAAAGTCTTCCAAAATATTTAACTGATATTGATTGAACATCATGCTGCTAGGGGTTCATTCAACCTTTTTTTTTCTTTTAAATTTTATGTAGGAGAGACAATTTTAGATTAGTTGTTTTTATTACCATTTTGATTTTAGAAATTTCCCACCTTTAGTGATATTTTAGGGAAATGTGAAAAGGAAAAATCTCATCTTCTCTAAAAGTATAGATCCTTTTGCACAGTTTTTATTATTGTTTTATATATTTTTTTAAAAATTCATTACTGTAATTTAATGAGAAAAAAATTGTATATAAGTGTACACAAATTTTGTACAGGCTATTTTTGTAATATAATAAATGTATATAATTAATTATTTAATAAAAAAGACTGTACTTATGTATATGTTCGTGGTCATGTGATTGTAAAAGGGGGGGACAAATTGTGAAATCTTTAATTAGAATTCTGACCACAGTCTAATTGTCAAATGAGTAGGGAAATGGACTGCATTCTATGCAATGCTTTTGAGATCGATCTTTATTATGTATAGTAATATATATCATTCGTGATAGCACATTTATTGATACAATTATGTGCCAATGTTTATTATTGATTTAATAAAATGTTATTTATAATTACTCATTTTTTTTATTCTATCCCAACCATTATAAAAAATTAAAATATTTATGCTTTGCATAGAATATATTTATATATACCTTAACTGAAATGTGTATTTTGTGCAACATTAATATAAGCTATAAAACAATATACAAAGTATATGTATATTTTTTTATATTAAATAAGATTATAAATTAAAGACAAATTAATGAATGTACTGGTACTGGTGAGGGAAAAAAGTCCAGCAAGTGTGCCTTGCCGCAGTTCTTTTTGTCTACATCTGACTACTTTGGACTGACACCATGTCCTAACGAAGGTGGGAATATCTAGAATCATTTACCAGAGCTACTAAGAAATAAATATTAACCAACCCAGGTGGAGTCCCACAACATTTAGAACTGGGTACACTTGGACCCATACCCCAACATGCTCAGGTCGAATTCTATGAGCGAAAAAATCACTGCAGATTAGAAACCCGACAGGTGTTGCCCAGGAAGGACATTTTCTACGTGTTTGGCAAGAAACACATTCCTGCACAATATCATTGTAGTTCTTTCTTTCTGATGGTTGCATGACATTTTCATGTCAGAGAATGCAGGAATTGTATGAAGCCACTACTGTTTTCATCAAGCTCTACTCCCTTTGGAGAAACGGGAGTTTGTCTGTGCATACAAAATTGAGGCTGTAAACAACCAACATAATGTCTGTACGTCTGTATGGCTCAGAAACTTTAGAGGTCACAAGATGTTTCATCAGAAAGCTGGTTGTATTACATCTTCAACATCAGATTGCCTGAAAAAGACGTGAATCGAGAACATTGGTGCAGAGCTGGGCAGAGGCCACAATTGAACTAGATGCAACAGTGAAAGGTTGGTAATTGATTGGAAACTCCCCAAGTAACATGCCGAAAAAGACGATCTTGCGTCACATGGAAGGAGGTCTGCGCTGAATGAGGTAGAGCAGACAGGAAAGACTTGGAGTGAGATGAAAACTGACTAGTGACAGAGATGGATGGAAATAGTTCGTTGAGGCCACTAAGAACTGAAGGATTTAAGTAAGTAAAAAAGCTACTTGGTATAAAAAAGTTTTTGTAGGTCACTGTGTAATAAAATACCAAGCGGTCTTGATAATTGGAACAGTAGATTACATTTAACCTTTTTAGATTATCAAAGTACACAAGGTGACAGAAATGTAAGTTACCTTAGAATGCATAAAGGTATAATAGTTAAATATGAGCATGTCAAATCACCTTTACCCTTTGTTCTAAACCTAAGACTTCCTGTCCTACAGTATCCTTTAATAATACCCCGCTTATCCCTATTGAACAAAGCCGGTACCTTGAACTCCACTTGGACAAACGTCTAACTTGGAATCCTCACACCAGACTTAAACGATGAGAAACCGCTCGACGTTTCCGACTACTCCAGCACTTACTAGACAAAGCTTCCAGTTAATTACAAAAGACTCATATACATGACTACAAGACCTCTGGATATACAGAGTTGAGATTTGAGGGTCCACAAAGCCATCGAATTCCTCACGCATCCAACCCTTACAATCAAAAATCCTTCAGAAAATCCTCAATGCTCCTTACTTTGTTACTAATAAAATCATCCATAAAGACCTTAATGTTCCTTATGTTTCCGAATTATCCAATGTCCAATCCAAGATATTTATCCTTCAATAATAAACTTCAGAACCATCCGAACCCTCTCGTTTCTAACATTGCTTCCTATTCAATCGCTGATAACACTCCCAGGTATCTGAAAAGAAGATGGCCTCGAGTTCTTCTATTGTAAATACATTTTTTTTAGAGTGCTACCATTGGGTAGTTTCTCAACAAGTGTTTTCATGTTTTTATTTTCTGTTATCACATTTACTTAATGTATTCTTTCTTAATGCAATTGTAAATATCATAAATTAAAAAAATATGAGCATATTGCAAATAAAATATTTCTGAAAATATTACATTACCCAAATAAGATTTTTTTAAACTGTTCAGGATATAAGTTTTCAACTATTCTCTTCTTTAACTATTTCTATCTTTTATTCACCTTTTTCATTTGTATAATAGTAGTCACCCCCTTAGTAATAATAAAAATAATATAAAAAAAAGTTTAATATAACTTGCTGAATTTATTATTATTAGTTGGTTCACAATACTACTAAATTAATTTCCATCTGCAATAATTTATTAAAAACAATTTTATCAATTATTTTAATTTATCTTCAGTGGGAAATTAAAATACAGTTTTTAATATTCTACTTCAACCCATGTGATTAATTAATTTAGAAGTAGAGAAAAATTAATTAATATAAGAAAAAAAGAGAGGTGTGAGGTATTTTCTGAACAAGTGCAAATTTGTAATAGGAGAACAGGATAAAACAAAAGCTTAATTCCTAACCACCATCCCAACTTCTGTTTGAGATGGAGGGGAGAGACCACTCCCACTCTTATTGCTCCACCTCCTCAATATCAGTCAACCTCCTATGTTGGTAAAATTATTTTGTTAAAAAATTTCTTAAAATTAAATATCTGGCTTTCATGCTACATTTAAGGATTGATTACAGCAAACCTAAAAATTATAGATTGGATTTGAACTTTAAAGGCAAGGATTGGTACCTGCCAAACACATAGTTTCTGATTCTCTGTATTTATTTATTTTTTTTCATGTACCTCCCAATTTCTAATGTATGGAGAAGAGGATATTCTACAGTTATAACAAAACCTATTCTAACCTGAACACGAACTGATTAACATTCATTCTGTGGGTTTGCCACAAAATAAATATCAATCCAATTTGTTGGGTTGGAGGAAAAGGTGATCAAGTAACAATGTAGACACTTTGATTAAGAGACAATTATTTCCAAATAAAAAAAGGTACTTGTGAACAATCCGGTCTGTGGAAGCTCCCTTCTTATCTTATCTTACATCACATAACCTCCTTTCTTATCTCCTGTAATCTGTTGTTATCCTTCTGTTATGTGTGAGTTATTCCATTGTTTATTTTTTGTTTACATTATTACACTGTGGGAATTGGTGTCTTCAGAAGAATAAAATATCAAATATTTTCAAAAGGTCGGAATAATTCCAATGATGAAATTCTGTGAAGGTCATGAAAATAAGTTTGACTGGAAGAACAAATGGAGATGCTTTAGTAGCAGTTGTAACAAAAACGTATCTATAAGAAAAGGAACGTGGTTAGAGAGGTCAAACATTACCTTTTCAACTGTTTTAAAATTTATTTATGGACGGTTTCATAATTTAACAACAATACAGTGGGGCAAAAAGATGCTGAAACTATTGAATAAAAGTGTGATAATGTGGAACAAATTATTAAGAGAGATTTGTGCCCATAAGATGTTATACAGGTCAACTAAAAAAAAATGGAGGGCCTGGCAAAATCCTTGAAGTAGATGAGTCTTTTTAATAAAAATAGAAGTGTTTTATATGTACATTTGTTTTTTATATAAAGCATGAACATATATGCGTTGTATGCATTACATGTTTAAGTAATATTTTGTATAGAATGTAAAATAAAATTGTTTTATAAATGCATATATGCATATATATATATATATATATATATATGTTGTAAAATAAAAGTGTTTTGTTATTATTATATTTGTTTTTGTCTATTTAAATATCCATAAATATGACATTTGTTTTTGTCCATTTCAATTTCTATAAATATGAATACAAAGATAGGGTTCATCAGTGCCTTACCAAAATTATCAGTGTTCAAGTTAAAAACTAAGGTAGCAGTCCACACCAACTGGATTGTTGACGAATATATAAAAAAAACTAGAGATCCAAAAATAAAGTTAACAGATTAGATAATATCAGGAAAAAACAAAAGAATAATTTAACAATAAATTTTGTAAAGTTATTTTTATATTCATAAGAAAATAATTCAACAATGACTATACACATATTTTTTTTTATAAGAAATTGTATTAAAATATATCACAATTCTCTAAATGCATTCATATATGAAGATACACAGAGATGTAGGAACTACGAAGTGTGAAATAACTATACATTTTACAATACTTCGTTCCTACTCATACATGACTACATTACATAATTTATTTAAATATTTACAATAGATACAACTCATGTCTTATTTTTTCATTTATAAAAATTATAATTATAGTAATATGATAACAACAATTCAAATTTAAAAGAACTAAATACAAAGAAAGAAGCATGCATTACAGAACATACCACTGAAATTCTATAAACATTAATATATATGTAAAAATAATAAATATCACCAAATATATAAAAATAAGACATTTAAAAAAACTTTTGATTTTTATAAACAATTAACAACAATGGAATGTTAAAAACTCTCTATGAACATGTAAAGAGAGAAATAGTAACTATTATTAAGAATCTTTAAACCTCTTCCATTTGAACTGTACAATTTTAATATTAAAAAATAAAATAACAATTGAATGTATAAATAAAGATAAATTTTGTAAATAAATACTGGTTGAATGAATAACTTATCAATGACCAAATATTGTTACTATTAAAAAAATTGTAAATGTATATTTAAAAAATAAAAAATTAGTTCATTAACTTATTTATTAAGTTTATATCTTTTACACCAGCCTTTATTTTGATTGAACTGACACGAAATAATGATTAAAGCTCTATTATTTTACCAAAATATAAATTTTAATTAATTAAATTGAACCCAATTCATTGGAAAGTCTATTATTACATAATAATACATTTTTAAGGAGAATACTATTTTACAAGGAAAATCTACCCCTTTTTAATGAAAATAAAAGTATATTTTAAAGTTATTTACATAGAATCAATATAGGGTAGACTGATGACTATGTTAAACTAAGCTTGCTTATTTGTTGCTTCTGGATAAATGAACTCGATAGAGCCAGAAGTCTGTATCTTTGCTTCAAGTTACGTGCACGAACATGGGAAGATGGGATTTCAACAGTGTGATTGCCAGGAAACCAACCATTTTCGCTGTCTCTCATCCGTTCACCATAATACCAACCTATTTAAAAAAATGAAAATTAAATGATAAGGTACATACTGAATTGTATATTATTATCAATATACGAATCTTGAATATTTTGACAGGATATTTTTAAGTAGCAACTCATTATTGTTCAGGACAATGAGATCATACTATACTATATAATTTTATGAAGGCCACAGGTAGAAATAAACCTGAGAGAGGTGGTCCAAAATATGCTCAGAATAGAATATAAAAGTGACAATGAAAATTAATTGGATACTATTTTCCAAGGCCTGATCTTGCTACATGCTTTTGCTGACCATAACTAACGCATGCTGCTTGTAGCATGCAGAATAGTTGACTATAACTACTCTATCTTCTTTTTCCGATTTTAGAAAGAAATTAAAAACTTAAAAAGAATGAAAATTAAATAAATTAAATGAAATACATTCTAAAAAACCTATAGTACCATCATCAGTCTTCCTCAGGACATTAATAACATCTCCATACTGAAGTGACAATTCATCAGGTTGAACTGCAAGGTAGGCATGCTGCACAAACACCTGTGGACAATCCCAATCTTCATAAAGTCTCTCCCCAGGGTTTGTTGGAGCAGGTGGGGACATGGCAGAGATCCATCTCGCCCTGGAGCTCTCTCCTCCACAGCAAAGTGCCTTGAAGAAAAAATAAATAAGAAATACTCCAGTTTTATAAAATATAAATTCTTTAATATCTATATATTGTAATGTACACCTTTATTGGAAGAGAGTAAAAAGATTTTAATCAATTAATGTTGAACAATTATAAGGCAAGCTAATCTATTTCTAGTGCAGGGAAAAGAAAATGGCTGCTCTGTCGTTTCCCAAGAAGGAAAATCCCAAAGAGGAGAGGGACAAAGGTTTTTGTTATGGCAAGCAGTTGTTGTGTGACTGTAGCAAAGAGAGGATAGGAGACGTGATCACCAGTGGGTAAAACCCAGTATTACCATTTTGGATGTTGTGTTTGGCAGTACATTAGACAGCATTTGAAGACAAATGAATTTAGTGCAACAAAAGAAGAAATAGTGTCTATAGAAAAAAGTTTAGCTTGCCAATCCATATTTGACTTTATTTTAAAACCAGTGTTTAATTGTAGTGTAAATAATAATAGTTTGTCTGAGTTGAACTGATTGTCAGTAACCCACACCTGAGATAAATAAATATATTAATTCTCTTATAATTTTGTTTATTATTAAACAACCTCTTATTTATTTAGGAAGTATCCCAATGGTAAGAAGTGAGCTTCCGAGGTTATATTATTATTATTTGTCAAATATAAGAGAGATGTTACAATATATATATATAGAACTTAATATGTTTTAAAGTACCAAATATAAAATAAAAATATTACAGAAACATACCATCTCTTGTGTCTTTCCTTCATGGTTCTTGAGAAGAGTTAGCATGATAAGAAACTTGTTTGAGAAGGCCTCTTCAACATCTGACATCTGAACCAGGTTTCTTTCACAATAAGTGACTACAGAGAATGTATCATCACTATAACAAATATTTTAATATATTTCTGGATGTTAGAAATTTTGTATTATTAAATTGATGATTAATACTTCAATAAATATAATAATTTAATGGAGTTATTTTCCAGGAAAATTATTAATATGATATTAATTAATTTTGGAAATAGTATTTCTATGATATTATCCATTAGAAATATTAAATTTTCTAAAAGTAATTTTATACACTTCTATTTTATTCCACTGCACTGCATGAAATGTTAATTTGTTAGTTTTATTAATTAATTAAAATATAATCTTTTGGCTCCAGTTTAATTATCGAATGAATAAGTTTCTTAAATAAATTTTCATAACACCTTGGATTATGAGTTTAAACAAGATACTTGGAGTATAATCCATATTGAGAAAAAAAGGAAATCGGTAAATAAATACCACCACAACTTACTCTCGATATATAACCATTTTCCATTTAGTTATAATACAGTTTATAGATATCAAAATTTTTTAAAATGTATATTTACCCTTTCCTCTTGGTTATGACCAAATAATCAGTGAAGAGGAAGAGTCTCAGCTTGACAGTACGAGGAGCAGTAAGCCTCCTGCTGAATGTTGTCCGAGATTCGAGGGATATCTGGCTGACATCTCCACTGCGCACCAACCATCGACTGGCAGACAGCAGAGGTAGTGGTCGCACCTCAGGCGGGAATTGTAGAGACCTGGATAATAACGCCATCTCTTCCATTCGCTCGGTCTGCCTTGCAGCTTCATTACAATCATGGACAATCTGACGAGATGATTGGTACTTAGTATTTATTTAAAAATGTCACAAATAATATATTGAAGCATGGTATATGATATAAAATATAAATATATTATAATGTATTATGAACTTTGTAAGAGAGTGGATTTCATTAAGAAAAATTCTGGTGCGTCTGCGGTCTGCCTTGCAGCTTCATTACAATCATGGACAATCTGACGAGATGATTGGTACTTAGTATTTATTTAAAAATGTCACAAATAATATATTGAAGCATGGTATATGATATAAAATATAAATATATTATAATATATTATGGACTTTGTAAGAGAGTGGATTTGATTAAGAAAAATTCTGGTGCGGGCATCACACCAATTTCTTCTTTTTTTTTTTCGTCGGCTCAATACTTCACTTGAAGTCCTATACTGACCCTCGTATTATATTATAATAGAAAGAAGGTATGGATGCAAATTATTATTATTGATTTATCTATTTTTGATGCTTCAATAAATTTGCATGACTTGATGGTATCCATATCTAGATCTGCCAACCGTTGGGGGAAAACACTATTGTTTTTGATTAGGGAATATTTATTCTGGTAGTTATCATGTTTGCTGCATTCTAGAATAATGTGCAATGGGTTCTCGATGGAGTTGCATGTCATACTTATTATTTGTTTTCAACTTTAATTAGTGTCAAGACATGATTTGTGTGACCATGGTTAATTCTCAATCTTGTAAGTAAGACTATTTCTTTACTGTTTAACGTACGTGAAGAAACACGTACGTAGAGAGACGTTAGGTAGGATAGAGGACAGAGAAATGATCTTTGCCTTTCGAACTTGACTCCCAGGCATATCTATTTTGCCATTCACTAATTTTTTTATTTTTTTTTCGGTTGGTGTTACAGACCGTGCAGATCTTTGACCACGAGATGTGGTCTCCTAGGCCATATCCCGATTCCTGATTACAAAGGTCCAAGAAATTTAAGATATGTTTTTAATCACAGTTGTTTACAAACATGTCTCCAACAGTTGTACATACTTATTTCAATATGTACAACAAGAAGTGCCCATACCCCCAAGGCCGATGGTGCATGAATCTTCATATTTTATTGCTTTTCTATTCTTAAAAACAGTGTAAACAAAAGTATAATTAAAAAATTCGTAGTTTATATACAATCACACATCCTGCAGATAATTCCGTGCTTCTATTTGTCTTTTGATTTTAAACTTTTCATTTCAAAAATTCAGAACTTCATTGAATTGTGCTCCCCTCAAAAATTTAAAACCCCTTCAAAATGTGTCCCCTCAAAAATATTATGGTGCAAATTGTGCTATGAAACCCTCTTCTGAGCACACATGTGTACTACTATATGTATATTTACAACACAGTATATTTTTGATTGAGCTCAACTTTTAAGTACGAATTTGTAGATTTCAATCTTGACATTTGAAGTTGTAGAATTTAATAGTAACTGATAAAAAATGCGTAAACTGAATGATTGAGATGGGAGAAAAAAATAAATTTAATATAACATAATACTTTTATTTAAATATAATAAGTTTAGACACATTATGATAATTAAATATTTACTAGCCAAACTTCAAAGTAGAGTGGTAAGTGAAAGTTGTGTTATTCATGAACCACACTAGATTTTTTAATCTTCAAACCTTTTCATAGCAAAATTTAATCGCAACTATAAACATTTACAAAACCTTACCTTATTGAGTCTAGCAAGTGCAAGACGACAGGACTCATACTCTGGATCGGAGGGAGTCAACTTGGTGAGGATGGCATCTTGTAACAGTGGCATCCTGGTGACCCTCTGCATCGGCAGCAATACAAAGGAGTAAAAAGTCAAGTTGTGGCATTTGGGTGATTTTTGCAATGTGTCTAAAGCATCTGAGAAAGCCTGGTTTGATTTCCTAAAACCGAACAAAATAACACATAAATAATAATAAAGGAAACAAGAATGAATAATCCTAGAAAAGATCTTATCTATTGATGGCTGGATATATAGTCCAGTCAATGAATGGTAAAAAAGTGCTTTGAGTGTACATGGAAGATGGACAAGCAATTGACCTTGGGAATTTGTTGGGGCACTTAAGAGGTAAACATACTAAAAGTCGCCGACCCTACACCTTCCGCTTCACAGTGGAGAGGAACCCCACAAAGGTATTTTTTTCCAGATTGTCTCATATATCTTGAAAACAAGAAATCACAGATGGAACATTATCGTATGAAAAATTAGAGCTGACAAAATTTCGTTTAAGAAAGTTCATATTTATTTATTTTGCATCTTTTACAGTTTTCGAGATATTCACTTAAACATTCACTTAAAGACATTAACTTAAATTGGTTATTTCCGAAAAATATTTTTGCCTCATTTTTTTTGTTGTAAAACTTGTCCTTTTAACATCACGGCTTTTCGTTCTACAAGTAAATCCTCAGGAAGAAAATTGTAGAATATAGTTTGTTATTTAAATGTACATATCATTTATTAGTTTATCTTTTACGAGTCGAAAGTTACATCAATTTTAAATATTTTGATAAATTCGATTAATGCATATGACAAAATGTAATTTGTTAATTATGGTTTTTAAGCATGAATGTCCACAATGTAAGATTATTATGGAAGGTAAAGATGAAAAAGAAACTTATGGCCCCCATAGGTAAAAAATTAATATAAAAAAGAAAGATAATGTGAATAAATCTTATCAAGTATAGTTCACTTACTTCAAAGTCTTAATTGTCTTTTCAATGGCTTGCTGATGCTTGCAGTACTTGATATAGGCTGAAAAGTGTTCTTCAGCCACTTTGTTGATAACATCTGACAAACCTTCAAGCAAAATGCTTTCCTGCCAGCACTTCTCTAATGCTGCTAACACTTCTTCAGAACACTTCCGCACTAGGAAATACATTTATTTATTTACTTTACATACATCAATTACATATTTACTTTTTGATATTTTACATGAGAGTTTTGTAACTAAATATATGTTTAGTGCATACTAAATTCTAACATAAAAATATAAGCGAGCAAGTCACTGGTACGACAGAGATGATGGCACTTAAGATGAGTTAAGCCTTTTTTAAGAATATTTTTTGGAGATTCTCACAATTAGTGCACTAGCATATGTGATGAGGAATAAATTTTTAATAACAGGTCATTACGAATCAATTAACCCAAAGAAAAATAAATTTTGAACTTTCCAGTCCCTAATTTACATCAACTAAATATAATACATTTCAGGTATACATCTTTAAACTATTTTTTTCTTGAACAGTTTTTTAATATCGACTTTTATAAATTGTGGAAAATTTCATCATAAGCAGAATTTCAACATATATTTTTTATCACAAAGATGCTTTAGAACTACAACAAGTGGTGCTAGAGGGATTTTTTGTAACTAATTTTAAAGCTTATTACATGCGCTTTCATTCATCATCTAAAAAGAAAGAGTGGCATAACTTTCACTTGAAATTTTATATATTCGTTCAGTGTTCTTGAATAAAAAATATTGAATAATATGAAGCACAGTATTATAGCTGAAATGTAGTATGATTTAAAAAAGAAATTTATTCCAATTATTTCTCATCAAGTTTGTACTTCAATCAAGTCATATTCAGTATTAATATAATAGTGAGCACTACCCTTCTCTCCCCCAAAAGTGATTATATGTTTAGTTAATTATGAGTAATAATATATTTTATCAAGAAAATGTACTTTTTATTACGGAATAAATGAATAAGCAAAGCAATACCTGCTTAACCGTTACATCTTGTTTACTCGTAATCCCATCATTTCTCTATCATCAATATATTTTGAAATTACATACTTCCAAGAATATTGGATGAATATACAAAATTTAAACTGAAAATCTGATCAATCTTCTTTTTTAAATCTTATAGTATCTACCTCTAGATGTCATCTACTAATGTCCCCATTATTTCTCTAAGTTTAAATTAGGAATGAATCTAATATAAGTGTGTACACACATATATATGGTCTGTGTATATATATATAAACATTTTTTTTAAGGTAATATAAAGTTTTCTGAGATATTTGAAATAAAACAGTTCTTATTTTTAACTTTTCATGTTGCATATAAAATAAAAGCCGATAAATAAGCTTTAAATGAGTAATTCAAGGTCAGATTACTCAAGAGAAAACAGAAATGTATTTTTTATTAAAAAATTTTAATTATATAATTACTACAATAAACATTTTTAACACACTTCTACAAATCTTTAATTAATACTTGTAGTTTATTAAATACATCTAGTAAACTTACCAGCAGCAACATTACCGAACAAAGTCTTGTAATGCCCTTTTGGGAGAACAGACTCATCTTTAAGAAGTGGACTTGAAGCAAAATGTTTCTCCAAAATCACAAGAGATTTATAGTAAGAAGCTTCAGAGGTCACAACTTCAAACTTGGCTTCCTGAAGTCTCTTTTGTTCTGGTGACAGGCTATCTGTAATCATTTTGAAAAATGAATGCAGTAGTCCATTCAAGTAGGATTTGAGCTAAGTCAAGAAGTAACACCTAGCCACATTTCTAATATATTACAAAAAAATTAGTGTTTCTGACAAAAAAATTTATAAATGTAAACTTATTAATAATATATCATATTATTGATTACTAATATTATAAAAATTTCCCTAAAACAAAAATTCTAGTTAATTTTAAAACTATTGTAAATGCAAAATATTAATAAGTTAACATTGATTTATCTTGTAGATGCGAATAATAAGAATACCTAGAATGCCCGAGTCTATAACTTGTGGTACATGGCACCAAAGCGTCCTTTGCATTTCAGGACTGACCAATTCCAGTGCTGATGGTCTGCTTGCAGTTAGGGTCCTGTTCTCTCCTATTTCTTCATAGCCAGTTTCAGAAGCATCTTCGGCTAATTCTCTCTAAAAAAATATCTGGGTATTACATATTATAAAATTACAGGCCAAAAAATATAAACACATTAGCTACGGTTATGGTTCCTGGATTCTGATATTCGTCTCCCCAAGCGGCTGGGATTGTTTTTTTTGTTAATTTTTTCTGGGAATGAATTTTTCCTATCTTACAAAGTCTCTAAAATGGTCATTTTATATTTTTATAAAATATTTAAAAATGTTTGAATGGAAGTTAGATAGATATGAAGATACAAATGTAAATAATCATTATATCTGATATAAAGCTGTAGGACCGCGGGGACCGATATCACACCAGACTGATAAAAAAATGATTTCTCTATGATATCATCCTCCGGCGTCCGATACATATTCCTGCCGTGACAGGAAAGTGCACATGCAAACTGATTGAGATAATGTTTGGAACGTCGGTGGTCAATTCTTGGATCATCTTTAACATTAAAAAAGAGAAATCTATATAAATTATTAAGTTCTTATCGGTTCTCGCTGATTAACTCGCAACTCAGCACCGACTACTGTCACTACATCTAATGCGTTGTGTGCATTCTTTTATTAAGCCTTCAGGTGAGATAAAGAAAAGCAAAAGCAGAGTAGAGAATGATACAGAGAACTGAGAAAGACCCAGGGAAGTAAGGAGGCAAATAAGAAAACACGGAAAGTCACTCGTTTCCAGATTCTGTTTGCTGCACTTTAAACAGTATCCAAGCAGTTAATAATTCATTTTCATTTTTCATTTTCTTAAAAAAAATCCTATGTAATAGTGAATACCCAAATACCTCTATATTTTTCTTGCATTGCCATAATATGGTAATTATTACGTAACTTTGAATTTTTATATATATCATTTTTATCTTGACATTGAAAAAGTATTACACAAATAAAGTATAAATTATATGACAAAAATTATAATTATACGCAATAAATAGACTTTTTATCATTTCATTTTTAATATTTAAGATTTATGTCGATAAAAATAACACTTTTTTTACTGAAATTTCAATATTCTTCATTATTAAATTTATTAATGTTTCTAGCGGGCAAGTTTATACCTTTATTCAAAGTTCTATATTTCAACATTGTAATCACCTACTCTGGAATCTACTTACTCACTGTCTATATAGGTATAACTTTTTCAACTAAAAATATCCCTTCAGCAATTTTATAATAGCCCAACATTGCCAGAAAATAATTTATATTCAAAGTAGAGTGGTAAGTGAAAATTGTGTGTAGCGCACACCAGATTTTTTAATGTGGATTAGTGTTTTTGGATTCTTTAATTTATTATTTATTTGTTTTTAAGTATTTTGATAATTTTATATGTGAATTAAATATAAATTATCTTTTAAAATAAAGTGAGCATTGTCTATGTGACATAGAAAATAGTCAATATAAACTTGAACTGTTTTTAAAAAAAAAAAGACATGTAAATAGGAATAGCAGGCATTTTTGTAAATTATGATAAAATAAATTTTAAACTAATGAAACACAGTGTTTCAACCGCCTCCCGCAGTGCTACATCCTAAGCCCTGAAGACGACCTGCAAAGTGGGTCGAAACGTCGGCAAAATTAAGTAATTACTATATTTTAATTTAGTATTTATTTGAACGCACCCCCCGATTAACTCCTTCTCATAAAATTATTATAGATTGCTCAATAACCACCATGATGAATACCCTGCAATGTAGTTCAACAGGTTGGAATATAATATATTAAAATAACATAGTTAATGTGTCCTCTTTAATTAATTCTTTTTACTAATAATACTTAGAAATAAACAAAATAAATAAATATAATTAGTTTTGAAACTCCAAAAATTAAATCACAAACCTTAGCTACACGTTCATTGTAGAATTGGTATAATGGCTCGTCTGCAAACCTAAGATCCAAGTCTGACCCCTGGCTAGAACCTAAAAAATAGAACATAGTGTAACTATATTATCCGAATAAAATATAAAAATCATCAGCAAATGTATTTAAAACTAATAAAACTAAAAACAAATGCAACTAAATATAGGTAGGCATTAATTGAAGTTAAGTCAATGAATAAAGGTTCAAAAGTGCTCCTACATCTATCTACATAAGAAAAAAAGACCCCAAATGAACTAGTCATGCGTCCAGTAAAAACTTTAAAAAAGAATAATTAAAGTTTTTATTTGTTTGTTTTAAATACTATAGATACAATTATAATTGAAAACATAATTATCACTGACATTACTAAATTTTTTTTAGGATGTAGTTTTTTCATTAAAAAAGTACTTTATTTTTTACTATAAATTCTTCTTATTATAAATTACTGTTTTAAATTAATTAATTATATGTACTCGGTAACTAAAAAATGTATAATTTTAGTTTTAACCACTTTAACCAAATACATTTTAAAGACATATTGAATACTAAATGTTTGACTGTTGTATATTTTAGAGAAAGGAGATGGTTATTTACCAACATCCCAATAGACAGAAGCCCTCCACATTGTACAAAAAACTGGACAATTATCGAACCTCACACCACTCTCAACCTCAACTCATACCTTGAATTCCTTGAGCTTTTTTGTATCCGAATACCTCACTTCCCAAGGTAAATTCTTTAACCAGATTTGAGGTCTAGCCATGGGAAACTCTTTAGCATCTGATTTTTCCAATATTATTCTTAATGACCATCTAGACTCCATTATCCCTTCTTTTTATCAAGACATCATTTTCATTAAAAAATATGTCAATGATCTCCTCCTTGTTCTTTACCCTGACAGCATTAATCAAATCATTTCCTCTTTCAACTCTTACAACCTCCATCTTCGTTTCAATATAGAGAAAGAAGTTAACAATTTACTCCCCTTCTTAGACCTCCTATAATCAAAAACACTGACGGGTATATTTCTACTGACTGGTATACTAAACCTAAATACTCAGGCAGATTACTTAGCTTTTACTGTCAACACCCATTACAACAAAAAATCAATACCACCAAAAACCTTATTCATCGATCTCTCTCTTTATCTGGTCCACAACATCACCAAACCAACAATCAGTGTATCAAAAATATACTCCTTTCCAATAATTTCCCTCTCATATACTTAAACTTTTAATCAGCTATACAACCAAACACAGTACAACCTCCTCTTCTCTCAACTTTCCATAATCACCTACCACTCCTTTCATAAACAAATCTCTCTCCTATATTCCTATTCTTTCAGATAATGTATAAAAATTCCTAAAATTGACTATTACCAACTTACACCTTGCCCCTAAGTCCCATAACAAACTTTGTTTCCTTTTCACCAACTTGAAGGATCCCATACTTTTACGACACCGATCTAATGTAGTTTACCGGACCGGATACCTTGCTCTACTCCTAATTGTAATAGTTCCTATATTGACGAAACCAAAAACCATCTCAAAACCCATATTTTCCAACATAAAACATCCATAACTTCCCGGAACCCTTCCGCCCACTTTGATTTTAAAAAATCTCTATTCTTGCCAGGATCCCTAACCATGAAAAAGACTCATTTCCGAATCCATCCACATCCACATGGAACAGAATCCTGTTAATCATAAAGTAGATAAAAACTGCATTTCTTTAACATATAGGCTTATTTTAATCTTATAAGTGAAAAATAACTTCTCTATTATATTTTCTATTATTCTTGTTTATTTATTTTTTATCTATTTTTAATTTTTATTGATTAAGTTTATTTGATCATTCATTATTTTTAAGTATTTCCGTTTTGTATGATCTCTCTTTTATTTTTTATTTTATATTTACATTCTACATCAATGTACGATCATCTGTTTTTATTTTGTATTCACTTTATTGTACTTATATTGTACTTTTAACCATTATATCAGGTCAGCAAATATCCCCAAGAGTGCTCCCCAATTTTAACTGAAACTTCTTGCTGAACGCACCCGTAAGTCTCTATTTTTTTCACATCCCTTCATGTCGATTATTTCATATTATTTTTCCTTTTCTTCTAATCTCTCCTTGAGATCTGTAGGAGTATATTCATAATTGCATATATTATATTATTTATTTATTTATTGAATGGAAAATTGAACAAAAATATAGATAAAGAGATAGAATTGAGAGAAAGGAAAAATAAATGTTAAAAAAAAAAAAAATTATAATAATACATATATATACATTTATATACAAATATTGTATACTATGCTCATACATATTGTTAATCCTATATAATTATATATTATTTTAAAAATTGTCTGTAGTGATTAATAAGTATGCTGTGTTTTTAGCAACCCAATGTAATTGGGCAGCACCATTTTATGATAATAAAGTGATTCTCTCTCTCTATACTACAACCATCCTTACCATTTATTTAATTCAGTTTAGGATCTCGTTACTTAGTTTACTCTGTTTGTTCTTAATATTTCAATTTACTTACTGTTTATAATTTCAATAAGTTTATTGACCTTGTTTTTCATTTTTATCTAAATATTATGTAACTACCACAATTTTCTATATCCTTTTGTATCTTGTCCGTTCTAGAGCTGAAGAAGACCTGCAAAGTCAGGTTGAAACGTTGGCTTGAAATAAAATAGTTTTTCCATGATTTTAGTCTCTTTATGACCGCCATCCCGGACCATCTCCTTTGTATAAATTTTAAAGACTTATCCCTTTATTTTATGGGAGTGGGGTTGCTCAGTGGGTGAGCACTGACTTCCAGAGCTCAAGGTCCCAGGTTCGAATTCGGCTGATGACAAGTAATTTTTCATCAGCCGTGGGTCGACCCTGGGGCTGGGAAAACCCTCCTGGGGCACACCCCAGCCTCTATAATGTGGGTAATCTTGATTAATAATTAATTAAAGTGAAAAACCTGACAGTTGAACATGATAAACCTGTCATCTATCTGCAAAACCAACCATTGGCCTTGTAATAGTACTTCCTCACTTTTTACTGAACCCAAGATCCTTCATGGGTTGTTAGTGTTACAGATCCCTTCATTTTATAAAAAAGTTTTTAGTGATTTCCATATTTCATTTTGCATATACAAAGTGGGACGGACCATAACGAAGACACCACACTTCTTATTCCCCGCATTATTTTTTCCTTATTATGGTTACAAATTGGCAATAAGGCACAATCAATATATGATATACAATGTTAAAGAAATTAAAAATTTGTCCGAACTGTGGTTTTGTTCAGTTTATTTTATGATGATAAAAAATAATACAATTTGAATTACAGAATACATGTAAATTACAGTTATAGAATTTGAGCAACGAGTAGTACAATTAAATGAACAGTTGTATAATTTATAAAATAGAGACCCAGTCTGCCATTAGGTGGAAATAGGATTCCCCTAATAATTTAAAAAATAATTAAAATTCTTTATTATATTATTATATAAATATAATGTTCTTGTAATCAGTATGAACCTTTTTATCTAAAAAACTTACACAACCTATAACTAGATAAAATTGATATTACCTGAGAAACTAACTTTAATTAACAGTTTATTTAAATTCTGAAGATAAATAAAGTATGTTTTAGGACTAAATATAATGAACACTTCATAATACAACTTCCATTAACAAGCTATTTCATTTTAAAGTAATTTAATTGGAATTAAAAAACTATAATATGAGACAATAAAGCAATAAAATAATATGATTACCATGTTCAGAAGAGGTGTCGGAAGGCTTACTGTTCTCATAAAGTCCTATATCAGAATACCAACTGTTGCCGTGGGCTCGCCTGTTCATACTGTCACCTGATATTTGGTTGGCAGCATTTTGTTCAAATAGACCAGATTCAATATAAAGTGATGTGTCATTCATTGTTTTATTGGATGTCCCTTTAGCATCATTAGCTAAAAATATATTTACATTGAGATTAAATATTATTCAAAAGTTGGGAAATTATAAAATAATAGAGATTCGTAAGATAGAAATGTAAGATTGTGAGTAGACTACTGCTACATATGCTAAACAATAACAGTTTGAATCCTGGCCAGACACACTATCTGGAGAAAAAAATTAAACAGTTAGATAGAAAATGTAGTTACGTAAAAACTTCCAGAATTTGCTAAGCCATAAAATGAGTACCTGTAATTATTTAGAAGAAGAATTTTACAGTTCGAGTAGAGAGCTTATCTCTGTGTCTCCCAAGGAAATTTGACAAGCCATTATCATGCTAAACATTTTGAAAAAGTTGATATTACCAATTCGTATGAGAATAAGCGATAGTTAATATATACACTGCTATTAATGATCCCTTTTCATAAACAAATACTCAATGACTAAATCAGTTTTTTATTTCTAAATCTACAAGAAAGATTTTTGTTTTGTATGTTGTTTTTTTTTCTTTCTTCCTACAAAACTCACTCTTAATAAAATGAATTTTAAAAATTGGTCTACCTACATAAATTAATAATAAAAAAATAAAATAAACCAATATCATATAAGTAAACTAACATTAAATAAACAAATAAAATAAGATGAAAAAAAATCCAATAGAAAACTTTCAACATGAAGAATTAATTTTATCAAACAATGAGTATTATGAGATAGAGAGAATAATTTTAAAGAGAATGATGGACTCAATTAAAAACCAAATTACATCACAGCTTTTATCAGAGGAAAACATTAAATGAATAGTTAACCTATTAAGTTGTATTGATGAAGGTCAGTTATTTCTGACTAGGTTGGAAAAATTCTCACAATTCCACTACAAGTACTTTTTCAATGTTGTTTCTTTTGTTTTATAGTCAGCTGTTTATCAATATCTACTCGTTAATAATTTTAAGGAAAAATAATATTTTTTTTTAATAAGAAAAACATTTTTTTTAATTACCCTAGGAACATCTACCTATTAACCAATTATTTTCTTTTTTGCTGCTTTGTTTACATATGTGGAATTTTCTTAAATCAAATATATTCAATCAGGAAAATACTTTTAAATTAATAATTAAGACAAATTTAATTAAGTTAAATTTAAAAAAACTGTAAAATTTATTACAGTTAAATTGACTAAATATAATTATGTAAATAATTTTTTCTAAACCTTAAAAAGTTTTCAAAACCCTTTCAAGTATTTTTATATCAGTGATTTTTATCAAAGACCAAAAAGCAAACACATAATTAACATTTAATGTTTACATCACATTAAACTATAAATGCACATAAACATCAAAAGTTTAAAAAGTCAATACAATATATTTTTTAAATAATGTTTCTATTGTAACATCAGGCCTTACCAGATGTTCCATTGACAGCTGCAGGAGGTGGTGGTGGAGGAGGAGAGGTAGGTCTCGTCGAAAGGCTAAGCCTGCGAGGATCAAGGTTGGGCGGTGGTGGCCTCGGTGGAGGGACTGAAGAATGCTCAGTTGTCTTTATGCTGTTGGTGCTCTCCGTACTTGTCACACTGATACTACTGTCCGTCAAATAGAAGGTGGACTTTGTAGTCGGCAATGAGTTCTTCTTCCTAAACGAAGGCCATCTACCTCTACTCATCATCCCATTAGTTCCTGTAGAAAACAGAATTTCTTAGATGGATACTGGCCAAAGGATAACAAATAAATAAGAAACCAAAAAACTTATTACAGATATAAAATTTACCACAATGAAAAAACAAAACAGGAAGTCTTTTCTTTTTTCAAGACATTTTTTATATTAGAATTTTATTTGACAAATAAAATATTTAGAGTATGTTTAAGGAAAGAAACAGCTCTACTAGATATAATTATAGAAAATAAATTATGTAATAAAATGTGTTTAAATATATTTCATAGTTATTCATTACTCAATATGTTTGTTACTTTAGTGCTTGTAAATTTAAATAACTTTGATGTTATATTTACTGACTATTATTATAGAACGCATTTTTAGGTAGGTTTTTACACAGCAAGTGATGAAACATTAAAATGGCAGCAGCAGCTCCTCCTTCCAATGAGGAAAAAATTAAAATCAAATAAAAATAAAAACAAATTTCTGAAATATATATCAATCCCATTATTTCATTTTCAACTGCTTGTTCTTCTGAGAGAGAGTAAATTAAACTTATCTTTCCCTATTTGCTCTTCTCGAGGATATAAGATAGGAGATCCAGAGTCTTTTAAATACAATTGTGGGTATTTTTATTTTTACCATGAGAAAATACCTAAATAATTTAATTTTGTATGTTATTTTATATTCATTTCATTACTCAAAGAACAAAAAATTACAATGAACTCAATTTTGTTCTGACAACTGTTTCATTCAGAATAAGAATAAAAATTGTCAACAACTTGCCCTTGCTGTGATGAACACTAAGAAATACAAGAAAATTGATCATTTATTTCCTTTCATTGCGATTGCAATTTATAGTAATTATTGTTGGATACTTTTGTCTCAAGATAAAATTTATTGTTATTAATTATAATTTTTTTTAAGTTATCAATTATAATTTTTGGTAAAAAGTTAAACATTTATTTTTGTTTTTTTAATTTCCGAAAAGTTTTATATTGCAGAAATGTGCTTTTAACATTCAGTGAGCCAAATACAACAGCAAATAATTTAGTTTTTAATTATAATTAAGTTTTTCAAGATATTTTATATATTAGAATTTTATTTTACAAAGAAAATATTTAGAGTATGTTTAAGGAAAGAACCTGCTTTTTTTCCCTCTACAAATCGATTTAGATAGACCTGCATGATACTTAAAGAGCTTATCAAATAATTATGTTTTGGATCACACATTATAATGGTAAAATATATACAAAACAATGACTAGTAAAAAAATAAAATATTTAGCAAAAGTAGCCAGGAAATGAATTAGCTTAAATTATAAAAAGTTCTGCTAATTATAAAAAGTTCTTAATTTAATTTTTAAAATCAAATTATTTATTTAAAAAACTTGGTACAAGTAAATACCATCAAATAGCAGTACATGAAATAACGTATATTTTACAATTATACATATGGTGGTTGGAACTGATGATTGAAATTATGGATTTTGCCCAGCTCAAATGAGAACCAATGATATGGGAATAAGATAACTTCCTATTAAATCTAGAAAGGAAGAAGATACCAGAATAAAGTTTCAATTGTAAATAATGTATCTATAATGCAGTAGATGGAAGAGAAAAATAAATGTATAATACAAAGCAGCTTTCATTTCACTTAAACATTAAATAGAAACTGCAAAATCAGTCCTAGAACAAACCGTAAGCTTAATTGCTGATATCTTAACATCACTTGATTCCTTTCTTACTGTTATATAATTAATTTATACCACAAACAGAGCTTGTTCCCAAGATTTTATCTGAAACAATTAGGTAATAGGAAGATTTCCACCTGCTGCATCACATTACTGCGTGTGTTCTAGTAAAATGTTATTCATAACATCCTCATAAATCAAATAAATAACTAGACATTTCTACTAAGACATGAATACGATGAATATATATATACATATATATTTTTTTTTATGTTCAAAAATTAATAAATAATAACATAAGCAATTGGTTTCAATATTATGAAGTGTTTCTTGTATTAGTTGGTTAAGTTTTTGGAAATGGAGGAATGAATATAGATACCCTAAAATATATTTTGAAAAGGTATGAGGGAAATGCTACCAATGTAATTCTGCTCTATTGAAATATAATTGATGGGCTCAGCTCAAAGTATTGTTGGGTACTATTGAGGAAGGCGATCTAGTTCAAGAAACCAATCCAGCCATAATTATATCTAATATCGTAATGATATTAAATAAATACAAACAACATTTGACAGAGGGTGACATGAAAGCATTGCATTGCTCAGCTTATAGTGAGCATTTGAACCTTTTTTTAAACAATGGTCAGATCTTCCCGTATTTGTTGATGGCGGCTAACTTCAAATATACCAAATTATTAATGCAAATCTGCCTCTCGGAAAATACATGATCAAAGTCTCAGTCAATAATAAAATTTTAAAAATCACTCCATAACATGAGTGCAAAATGTGCAACACTATGGAAAAAGAGACACTTTATCATGTTTTATTTATGGACCCAATATACAGTTGTTTGAGAATTAGAATTTACCAGAGTACGGGAAATCTTAACGGGATGGAAATATTTAAGCTAACCACTTTAGATGATATGAGAAAATTATATTTTTTTATATCTAATTATATAGATTTGGTGGGGTAATCACTAATATTGTCCTTTGAATATTTTGGTAAACATTTAAATAGGATTTCAGCATGTAATCTGCACCTGCCAAATTTCCGGCCTTGTTTCCTTTGTATATGTGAATAAACTGTTAATTTAATTTTAAAATATGATTTAATATTAATATTCAAAAGATAAAATGTATTTATTGTTGTTGTTTATGTGTTCTATTAACAATATGTGAATAAACTATATAACCTATAACCATCAATAACCAAGATTTTATATTGATATTAATAATTGACATTATTTTAACTGTTTGATTTTTTACAAAATGTGATTTGTAAGTTATATTTAACTCTTTTATAATATTTATAATGTAGCATAAAAAAAAAAATGTATTACCATCAGGATAGTAATGTTTATTATAAAGAGATAAACACTATTTGTATGGGATTCTTCTCTCAAAACAAATAAAGATTTTTAAAAAAAATGATAATAACAAACATAAATGTTCAGAATTATAAAAAAAAAAACAGGACAAAATTAATTTCTAAATCATTAAATATGAATATCGTATAATTTTTTAAACCTCTTTTTAAATCATTTATTTACAACATTTTCTGAGATGTTATTCCTTATTTTTTAGATTTAATAGTTCACATAATTAGGTAAGTCTAGGAATCCAACTACGAGTTATCTCATAGTTTGTTTAGTTGCTATTTTCATCAAAATATAAGATGTTTGATTTAAATTTGTTTTTACTAACAAATCTTGAAAAGTAGAATAGCAGTAAATGTGTTAAAACAGTAATTCTTCTTTCAGATTTAAGTTTCATAGGTAAAATATAGTCATTACTGCTAACTGAAGAGTTCATGAATGGAACTTCAAATATGAATACAAAATATAATATAATTTACTTTTATAAAATAATTTAATCATTAGTCAAAATAAGAAAATAAGATAAAATTTAAGAAATACCATTGAAGATGTCTTGGGCTGAAGTTGTTTTGCTTATTCTACTGATCTTTCTCAGACTTTTGCCAATAGTCGAAGAGGTCTTCCTCATCCTCTTCCCTGCCTCCTTCATCAGACTGTAGATTCCATCACTTTGACTAACTTCTGGAAGTCTCTGCTGCTAAATGTTTAAATGTATAGAATTATTGACTTTCAACAGCCATTTAAGAAATAATGTCATTTCATTTTAAAATAATTGTGAAAATTAACATTTAAGTGACTGGATTATGTAAGAGAAACATGAAACAAATTGATTTCTTCACTGAGAGGGAGTTGCCAAAACGTTTTCTTTTCTGGGCTAAAGCCAATTTCATTCCGGGATCATCGTACTTATATAAAAAGAGGCCAGTTCACAAGACATACCTCATTGCGGTAAGGTTTTTCATTGTTGTCGACAGAGAATTCAGAATCGGATGAATCCTCAAAATCATCGCAGAGGGCTGAATCGTCATCAAGATTTTCCACTAGTTCATAATGCTTGCTTGAGCTATCTGAGTCCTCTGTAAAAACATAAATTACTAAAAATTAGCCAAATAATTATTATTTTAGGAAATTGTTATTATTATAGGAAAAACAATACATATGAATAAAGTTATATAATTAATCAAATTTATAAATATAAAGCAAGCTACTTTTATCAAATATAAAGTAATTTATTAAAAACAGGAAAATAGTAGACCATAGAGAATAATGTAATACAAACATATGTTAGTTTCCACCAATTTTCTACCTCAGTTCCAAATTACTATTTTTTATTTTTAGATAGTAATCCAAAATACTTATTAATCTCATACATTGTGAATTACTGTCAAATATGCTTTTGCAAACTATTAGAATTTTAATTAAATGTTTTTTTATTTTTAAGTCATTTTTTTCTTTCTGCAAAGAAGAATTAATGATTCATGTTTTTAATACAAATATAGTATTTCACCAAATCAGATCAAATATATTTAATTTATATAATATCTATTTGAAATATCAATATTTATAAAAAAATAAATAAATTATATATTTTTAAACAATAATAAATGAACATGGATCATGACAACATTCTTTATTTTTTATTTTTTATTTTTATCTTTGGAATGTTTTCTCTAAGTACAAAAACCCATTCATTGACATATATAACAGACCTCCACAATCTGTGAGAAATATTAGTAAAATAACATTTGCCAAGCACTGTTTATTTTTAAAAGGTAACCAATGATAACAATAAATTCTAAATGAGGTCCATAAATAAATTAAATTTAATTAGAGTTACATGGTAGGTCATCTAATATGTTTTGTAGTAAAGGTTGGACAAAAGAAGTTGTACAGAATTTTGATTCAGTGATATAATTTAGATCAATTTCACAACAACTATTTCTTAGTATGTCTGTGCAGTTTGCATTTACAAGTTGTCAGAGTATTTAAAAATGATTATTATTAGTATTAAAATAAAATTATTGTTAGTTCAACTCCACTCCCAAATGTACTTTACTTAAGTTGGAAAGGGTGACTTTACTATAATAAATAATCTTGAAGGTACCTGATTCGGTTTTACATTCAAAGAATAATCAATAAGTGAAAGACTAATTTAAATCAAATAAGAAATAATTTTATTAAGGTTTAGAATGCTAATCAATCAATTCAATGTAGGAAGAAATTTTGAGAGTTTATTTACTGAAATAAAAAAACAATATTATTACATCTATAATACGATAGCCAAATTCCATTAAAACAATACAAACAGCACTAGAACAATTATGATAAAAAATAAATATTCAGACGCAAACATAAATTTAAAAACAGAAATTCCCTTCCTCGTATCAAAATTACTAAGGATAACAAATATCAAATCAAAATTAATGATTTTACCAAACATAAATAATAATTAAAAAAATTTCTAAATAAATTATACAAATAGCATATTACAAAAAACAAAAGTAGCAAACAAATAATTGTACTTAAAATACGTCAGAATATAATAATAGTAATTTTAATAAAGTGCAGAATAAAATAATATTTCAAGAACTGAATCATTTTCAAATATGTGTCTAAGAAACAAAGGTATCTCCTAATATTAATTTTAAGATAAGATCAATGATTCATCCTGGGCTATAACTTCTAAAATGTAGACTTCAAGATAAAAGTATGTAAACATTTAATTCCACACAATCGCTCATAGTTAACATTTTACTAAATATACAATTTAAATTTTATTTTATCCTATATTTTCATAAATATCAATTGAATTTTAAACAGTGCTTCTAACAAGATTTAGTTTTTCTATGTTTGCCATTACATTGCTGATCTAAAATTTCTCAAAGGCAAAAAATGGTTCCTGGTCGCAGAGAGGCTGAGAGTGAATTAAAGATTCAAAGGTTGTGGAAATAATATGCCAATGATATCAAAGTTTATTTAGATTGAGTTGACGGCAGCAAAAACGGAATATATGTTTAATTTGTGTAAAGAGTAAAGTGTCTTTTTAAAATACAAAACTGTATATTAAATATTGAAGGAAGTTAGCCGACTGTTCTACATATCATGGGTGATAAATAGTCAGAACGCAGTAATTTTTAAGGTTTTTATTGCTGCTGACGTTTAATGTGCCAACACAGTAACTGTACACATGTTGCCTTTAATATTTTATTTATCAAATGAATTGCATTCCACAAACAAAAATGATACCCCTCTGACTTTTTTTACCTACCTTTGGAAACTTGAAAATCACCAACAACCCTCTCACTTACCTATCTAAGTCCCAGTACTTGAACACTTTCAGTGCTCAAAAAACCTTTAGTAAGAGTAAATATTACATTTCTTATAAATTGACTACAGACATTATTTTTTAGTTTATATAACTTATTACATATTTCATTTGCCTATTTTATGCATCATCCTTCACTATTTTTTCATTATTAACCATTATCTGTTTTACAATATTATATCTCAGATTGTATTAAACCATTTTCAGCCCTGACAATGACCCGCATGTTAGGATTGAAACGTCGGCACCAAAAACAATCTTAAAAATGACTTTGTCCTGACTATTTATCAACCATGTATATTAAATAATTTAATATTTAATTTGAAAACAGATGACAAAAGTTTATTTTTTTAAATACATTTCGGTAAAAAAGTTGTGTAATAAAATATAACAGAATAAAATATATTGTGTTTAAAACAATATCAACACTTTAAAGAATTATAAAAATAGTTTATTCAACACATAGTGAGCAATCTCTTGATCACAACATACAAAGAAGTCTAGACAGTGATTGCACACAAGCTAATTCCAGATTCCTTTTAATTAATAAAATTCTTAACATTATTGAATCCAGTCTTTATTTTTTTTTTTTTTTTATAATTTATACATTTCACAAATTTCTTTGTACCGTTTTTATAATCATCACAAAAGGATAACACCCAGACTTATTAAATATCTGATAATAAGATGGTAAAATTTAATAATTAGAAAAAATACAAAATATGTTGTACATATTTTTGTCAGTTTTGAATTTGAATAAAACTTGCTGCAACATTCTTAATAGTTTTTGACAAACTAATTGTTGGTTTACAGACTTTTTAAAAAAAAATTCATAGAATTATAGCATTCATTATTTCTTCCACAGAATGTAGAAAATGATAGAATCAAATACATAATGATAACAAAATAAATATATATTTCACAGAACATAAAAATTAAAGTTTATACTATTAATTTAAATAAAAATGACTGTTTAGACCGATGTAACAGCATAATTTCTAGAATTCTTATAGTATTAAATTTCATAACATTAACAGTGTAATATTAAAATTCTCAATTGAATCACAGTTGAGATTTTTAAAATATGTACTGTAGGTTTTAAACAAATTTAAGAAGAAAATGGCACATATACTTATATGCTTTTTTATCCAGCCACCACCATCTTAAATATTAAGGTGTTATGAATCATTTGGAATATGTGACAGACCTCTTTTCTGAATAAATAAGACACTAGAATTTGTGCCTTGGACTTGTTCAAGTGTTATAGTAAATGCAAAATAGTTATGATTGTAGTTCTATTTTAAGAAAATACCCTCTATATATAAAGGAAATATTTCAACTACTTCGGTTAACAAGACAGGTTGATATAAATTATTTCCATTTCTTGTGCGATTATTACTAATTTATATTGTAAATAGTCAAATAGTGCATGGTTTTTTGCTATAATTATTCCATCAAATACAAACTGGTTTAATTCATTTTTATGGATAAGAATTGATAATGATTTAAATAATTGTAAAAGATTATATACTTTTATATTATTAGTTTTCATAATTAACAATCAAAATTCATATTGCTTAAGACCGTACCATGTACAAGTGACAAGTTAAGAAAAGAATAAAGAAGAAATAATTGCAGTAATTAATTGTTTAAAAATAGTTTATTCATAAAACATTGTTTTTTTTTTTTTTTTTTTACTTTTTTCTGTAAAACCTACAAGCATTCACAATCGCAATGGTTTAAGAATTATTAACATATAAAAACATAACAGTTCATAAAAAAACTGTATATTTATATTCAATAATGATAAAATATTAAGAACTCAATTATTTAATTAGTATTAGAATAATAAAAGTAAACTTTCAATAATTAAAGAAATTAAATACAAATATTAAAATATTTAAATACAAAGGCATTCATTTGATTTATTTTTATTATTGTTTCAATATTCATCCATAAAAAAAATCCAGATTTTTATTACAAATGTCATTAATTTAATCTTATTATATTAATTTAAATGTTAATTTACTTAATCCTTATCAATAAAGTAGAGTGAAAACAAATGAAAAAAGGTGAAAATTAAAATAAGAAAGCATTGTGATAAAAAAATATTAAAATAAATTAGAATAATGGTGTACTTATATGGCATCAATAAAATTCATTAGTTTATTAACAATTTTACTTTACAGTGGAATGTGCTAGTGTGCATGAATTTTGATTTTAACAATAATGTAGATATTTATCAGTTTATCAACCTTTTTAATAACTTCTGAAGTAAATCTAGAATAATCAGTATTAAAAAATAATAATGACACATATTATTTGAATGTAGAAATCATAACAGATTATCTTCCAATTTTTACATTATACATAAAAACAATTTGGGATAATAAAACGTATAGAGGAATTGTACTCTGAGCTTTGTGTCAAATACTCAGATTAGGTTGAAATAGAAATAAATAACTTAAAAAAGACTTTTAAAAATTGCATCAATTATGTATATATTGGCAAATAACATTTTGTAATCTCGATTAGAAAAATAAATTGTGGAACATTGTATTAATTAAAGTAAATAAGGCACTGTATGTCTGAAGAATTAAAGCAGATCAAGAAGAGGCCACAAGAGTCAAAGTAATCAAGCAAAAAATATAATATTTAAGCCTTCTATCATTTTATCCAATAATAATCTAGAAAGTAATAAAAGAATTGAGAATAACAAATAAATGTAGCGAAATAACATGGAAGGATATATATGTTATTCCATTAGTAAATTTCATTTTTTTTTGTCAATTTTTCTCCACCCTTCATTTTAGTCATTAGAGACAGGGGATGGAGAGAGAGAGAACTTATGGATTTGTCACCGGAGTAATGCAACAAATGACTTTCATTATACTTTTCTCTACATCTTCTATGCCAATTAGCATGGCCATTGTTATTTTTCCAGAGTATAAGGATAAAAATATATGGTAAAAAAATAGATATTATTTCTAATTGAAATAAAATATGAACAAGTTATTTAAGTTATTCACAGTGACAAGTGCCATTTATATAACAACAATTTCTTTTTCATCCCAAGCCATGGCCCGTGGGGTTAGAAGCCTCAATGGAGTTGGTGGAACATAGTCCAGGTCTTAATGTGACCCTCCCGCCAAAAAGTTTCGAGTCCCCTGTTTTAGAGTAATGTTACTCCATACCCTCTTCCCCAAGATGAAAATTTTCAGGATTTATGGTAAGGTTGAAATAGCAGTGTTTAAAAAGAAATTAAAAATTAAATATGGATAGGATTATTTTATAACCTTCACCCAAAATGTGACACCATACCTCCATTATTATTTGGATAAGTAGTTATATTAATTTGATTGTCTTCCACATTCGGATGGATTTAGTGATAAATAAATACTTACAATATGAGCTAACTTTCAAAACAAATAGAAAAATACCTACATATAATATGTATAAAATGGAAAATTATGTGTTAATATTAATGGAGGTCATTGCAACAAGATATTTTAAATCAACAATTAGTTACGCACAAAACTGAATTCGGTTAATTAAATAAATAAATTTCTAACAATACATGCTTTGGGAACTTCTCTACTATCATAAAATCAAGCCTGGTGTTTATTATTTGGTGCATGAATAAATGTATCGTATTTCAAGCTTCATGCAAACAATACATAAAAGAAAATAATTAAAATGAAACAATTATAATCTTTACCATTTCCAATAAACTGACCTTTGTTCAATATATAAATGGTAACTTCTTGAACTTCATATTTGTTCCCTGAAAACCAAACCTCCCTAAGAGAGACGAGTCCGAGCGTCTTCAGTGGAGAAGGATCTACAACAGCCCTGTTGGGATCCGGTTCGAAGTTGGAGGTGTCGTCGTACTTTAGGTACAATATGGAAGGCGAAGTTATGGCGACTGAAAAGGTAGAGAGAGAAACAAGAAAGAAAGATGAGAAAGATATGTAAAAGAGAGTCAAGGTTTCTCCCTGGAGGTCGAGAAGCTGCCTTTATTCGCTTTTAGAAGGATATTCTGAGAACCTCCTCGAGTGAATGTCTGCTATTCTGGCGATCGCAATCATATTACTTTGTCAATTAATGGATGACGTTTAAGTTAGTCCTTGAAGGAAGTCACTTGTATGCATTAGCGAGTGTAAAGGCTCAAGGGTCCACAAGAATATTCGGTAATGAGCGAAAAGTTAACGCAATGGTGACCTTAGTATTAAAAAATAATTTACCAATTAACCTCAGTTATTGAATAAGTTAAGTGCAGGTTATGAAGAAATTACCACCACTAGAGAAACAACATTAATTCATTTTTCTAAACGTATCACTCATTCTAATTTTTTAAATATAAAAATAAACTCTTAAGTATTTATTACTCTACACGAAATATGCACTTCAATCTTATTTTTACGAAATGCCTTTAAAAGTTATTTAAATTAAAAGGTATCATGACAAATTTTGGTGTAAATTGGCGGGCATGTTGGCACAGGCGGATCTACGGGGGGGAGGAGGAGGTCTTTCGGGATGAAGCCACCCCAAAATGGTAAAATGTAACCATGTTTTACAGAAAAAAATATTAAAAACTATCTCTTAAAGTATTCTTGTTCGTGTAATTATATTTAATAGGACTTCAAGAACCACTTAAACACCATTTCATATAGGTAATTATTTTTTTTTCAAATTAATTATCGTTATATGTATATGAAAAAAAAAAAATCTTTTGGGCTGAAGCCCCCTCAAAATTAAATCCTGGATCCGCTAGTGCATTTTGGTGTAGTAACTGCACCGGTTGGATTACATAGGGCGTATAAACATGTTAACAATTAAACTTAAGGTAATTATTAAGATGAGGAAAGCCCGGGTTACGCGTGGTTCACAATCACTTCGGTCACACTTGTTCATGAAACGCTGAAAATAGTTTTTCGGATAAACCTGGATGAATTTGGCACTCCATAAACAAGTGTGACCAAAGCGATTGTAAACCACGCGTACTCCGTGCGGTTTATTCATCTAAATAATTACCAATCTTAATAAGACTCGTAAAATTGGGTATTAAAGAAGGTATGCTCTTTATTAATTGGAAATGATGAAAAATCAACAAAAAATAATGGTGATGATTACGGATTGGATTCATATATATTTACATTTTTATTTTCTAAGCCTTGTACACCTTTTACAAGACAAATAAAGTATTCTTTATGATACAAATTTATGATATATTTGCAAATTAAGCCAAAAGAAGTTTTTTAACAAGTAAACGGGAAATTCGATGAAATCTGTGATAGGAAAATGCGCATGGGTCAAAAAATTCTATCTCATTAGATTTACTAATTAGATTTAGATACAAGTGTTGAAATACATTCGGGAATCTTCCAACGGAAGTTTCCGAAAAGAGAGTAATGCCTCATTTTTTTAAACGTGTGAAAAAGTTTAATGATTTGTGGTAACAACATATTTCAACACATTGTACATAAAACTGAAGAAAAGCATTGCTTTATTCTTCTTTATCGCCTTTAAAAAAAACAGTAAATATAACACAAATTATTGTCATGTTTTTGAGAGAGCTGATATATTTTTAAATAAACTAAATAATAAACATTCACACATGAGATTGTCATGAGATAGATATGGAGTGACCCCCTCTCTCTATAATTTTATATCCCAAAAAGTTAAAAAAAAAAAATAAGAAGAAAATAATAACCTTCTTTGAAAAATAAGATTTTCAAACTGCGAAAATCGTGGTAAAAAATTTGATTTAAGAGTATATATATATATATATATATATATATATATATATATATATATATATATCCCACAGGTCGATAGCGCTTGACCCCTTCTAGGTATTTTTATTGTCCTTTCTTAAAAGCGGCGCAAGTAAAAAAAAATATTAAAATTTTAGTTTGTTTGCAATTGCACTAGTTGTCGTGTGTTCCATGTTTTACCTTCCTCCTTGGTTCGAAAGTTTCTCCAAAAATAAGATTCGCTTTAAAATTCATTACTCCCTGGAAGTTTACTTTTATATATATACTTTTACTTTTATATATATATATATATATATATATATATATATATATATATATATATATATATATAACTAAGATATGTATTATAATCGGATAATAGGTCATGAAATATATATATATATATATATATATATATATATATATATATATATATATATAGAGAGAGAGAGAGAGAGAGAGAGAGAGAGAGGGATGTTTACGCAAAATATTAAGCAGATACACAACTCCAAAGTTTCATGTTTTTTCTTTTTTAATTTCAATATTTATATAATTTTAAAAATTCCCATGAGAACATAATACCTGTTCTTATTACGCCTGACCTTGTTAAAGAAACCAATCGATCGATTCTTGTTACAAGTGAGTCACTATATACGTAATTCTTACAGATATAAGGAAAAGTGAACAATCTTGTTCACTTTGGCTGGGCCGGAACTGGAGGGGGGGGGGTGCAAAGGACATTTTGAACCACTTGCCGTGGGCATCAAAATTAGGAAAAGGCAAATTTTAACGTGAATATTATTTTTAGGTAATATAAAAAAAATGTACATATTGATTGTTTTGATATTAATTTAGTTAATAAAATGAGTTGATGATATTCATCTTGAAATATATTGTCTAAAATACTCTTATAAAACTGTTGAATTTTATTTAGGAGAGTGGGATAAATGTGGCAAAATTAACTTGCCTCTCTGAGAAAAATCTATTTCCGGCCCTGAGTTTACCCCGGAAAATTTATAAAATTTTAAATCCGGAGTAACCAACATTTGTAAATAAAATAAAAATACAGGCATATATAATTATTAATAGAGTAAAAGATTAATACATTAAAACCCAAAAGAACCTATAAAAATAGCAATTAAGTAAATTTTATGATTTGGAAATACCGACGTTTTAAAACTTCAAACTTTACAGATAGTTTTGTGAGTCATATTCAAAATATTATAATTCTAAGGCAAATCACAACCAGATGATATAATTATTTTCTTCTATTCGATTAATTTTAATTAGGAAATTTACAGGTTATTCTGGAATATGTAAGATAGCAATGCTCACAACAAATTTAAGGGTTGAAGGTACATTTTTATGTGTCTAAAGGGGATAAACTTCCAGGGAGTAATGAATTTTAAAGCGAATCTTATTTTTGGAGAAACTTTCAAACCAAGGAGGAAGGTAATACATGGAACACAACACAACTAGTGCAATTGCAAACAAACTAAAATTTTAATAATTTTTTTTACTTGCGCCGCTTTTAAGAAAGAAGGACAATAAAAATATCTAGAAGGGGTTAAGCGCTATCGACCTGTGGGATATGATCATCCCAATAGAAGGGTTTATCTCGACGGAATTAGAACTGTTTACAAACTATTAAAATGTTACAATTTAGTTTTTATGAGAGAAGACAGGGATCTACAGATTTGATTGCTGTAGAGGACATACTGACTGATGTCAGGCCGAAGAAACTCTTTGTAAATAAAAATTACATGTAACCTCGGGCTTTGTAACTGACTCAATACAAAATACAAAAACGGGCTGATTGCATGTCATTGCTCAATGGCGATAGAAAATAACAATGACACGAGTTAGTTCCGTAGCAGTTTTCACCATTATTCAAGAAACAGTCACCGTTAACGTGCTTATTGAATCACTGTTAAGGATTTTTTCTGTTCCTTTTTTTTTTTTTCGTATCAAATTTACATATAATTTAATAGCATGAATTGCTTCTGAACCAGTGTAATTTTAGGGGAGAAAAATGTTTGGTCACCAGCTTTGTTCCGGTTATTTCAATTCGTTTCGGTTAAAACAAACCAAAAAGATAAAATCACCCATTTTAGCAGTTAAAATGGTCAAGCCATGAATACTATGAATAATTATTTATTGTTATTAAAGGTATTTATAATTATGGAATAATTATTACTATTGCTTATTGTCTTACTATCATCAACAGTACATTTTTAAAAAAAGTTCAAAACAATAGATATCTTTAAATGTACCTGTTTTTGTATTTTTATAGTTGTAAAGAAAGATAAGCAATAAATAGTGTATTCAGGTGACAAAAAAGATTGATCAAGAAAAATAGAGAAATAATAATGGGCATATTAAAACAATTTAAATTGATAATGATATACTAAATTATTGCTTCAGGCTTAAAACCACTTCGTAATTTTCTTTAATTTTAAAAATTTCAGTTATTTTCGGACTTGTGATACTTTAACGAACACAGTATAATATTACACAGTTTCTTCACATGACCTTTACAGTTCATTTGAAATGTTAATGATCGTATGATTGTTATCAATTATTTTCAGGGATAATTCAGTCATACAGAAACTTAGGAGATGCTGTATCTACGACTTATAGATGAATGATTGGAGAAAAATTTCCTTAAAATACTAAAAAATATATTACTTTTTTGAGGTGTACTTATAAAGGTGTAGTTGTTGACGTATTTTAATCCTGTATAGTAGCACATCCAGGATTTAATTTATTGTTAGTATTTTAACAACGGTAATTACTCCGGAAAGAAAAAAAAAACTATCTATGAAGTAGAAAAATAGATAATTACAGAAATAATAATTCTTTACTCTAAAAGCTTTATTTTTTTCTGTAATTGATCCATGCCAACAGTTATTAGCTGTATATGCATTATAATTTAGAAAAATAATATATTATCGGTGTTTAAGTGTTTTGCTTAGATTACTCTATATATATAACATTGAACAATGAAAAAAATATATATATTTTTCCAAATTGGGGGGACTTCAACCCGAAAGCCCCTCACCCACCTCATAGACCCACCCGCCAGCCTCCTATATGATCCATAAGAGGACCAAATGTACATAAAATTATGAAATGAATGTATTTGTAGCCAAGTCTTGTAAGTTGTTTA